CTTAATAATTATTGTAAAAACTACGTTTTTACTTCCTGCTAATTTACACTTTCTTGATGGGTTGGATAAGGTAATTATGAAATTGTATTGATCACAATAGTTTAGCACGTGTTTTCTAACCAAAATTTCTGCCTTAATTGATTATCTCCTTAGGTAAATTGCTCCAGACTTGCACAATAATGACTAGGTGCAATGAAAATAAAGAATAAAAAACGGTATCCATGAACTAAATTAAAGAAACCGTTTTAATTTATACAGTAAAAGTGGATTACGAATTATTTTGAATTGTAGTTTAAATGTATAAATTTGTGATTGTGAATGCGACAACATATTATAACATACTAATAGAACATTTGATTAATTTAAAAATTAGAATGAAAATAAATGGACGACGTGAATCGTCAATTTTTGCAAGATTCTTATTATTATTTGTAACAAAACTAAATATTTAAAAATAGTACTCGGATTAAAACTTACAATTTTATTTAAAAAGAGAGTCTTATGAATAATTTCATGTATAAATTTATTTTTATGTAATGCTTTTAAATTATTATTATGTTTATTTTATGATAATTAAAATCAATAAATTAATCACTTCAGTTCACATCACATATCATCAAATGGCTATAGACAGCTAATATTAAAATTATTTTAAAAGAAAGCAAATAAAAATGAAAASATTTGAATAACGTTTAAACACTTTTTCTTTATTGTAGCATATTAATTTACTGCAAACGATAAAAAAATTAAAACAAATAATTTAATTCAAATGTGAAAATAAAAAATTAAACTAATAAAAAAATTAACTTACAAAAATAGGTATTTTGTTAAAAAAAAGAATGTATGTTATAAAATAAAAGGAAAAGAAGTGAGTATAAATGTTTTCGGAAATCAAGAAGTTGAAAAAACTAAAAATGTTTTCTATAAAAATTAACAGCATATTTTTGAATTCTCATAGACACTTTTCACTTATTTTTGTGTTATATGTTTTTGAAGAAAATTAGTGAACACTCAAACTTTCAACAAACCTGCAATTTTATATGGTAATTTTATATGCCTCAAAGTGCTTCTACAAATTTCACATCACACTTAATGAATATTCATTTTTTAATGGCTTGATACAATGTCTTCAAATATTTCGCTAAGGCTTTGTATGTCAAAATTTCACAATTTATGTTTAAATGTCGCATAACGATTTCCTGGTCGTGGTGTCTCAGGTCTTCCTGAGAGCCGATGAGGTGTGAAATTCAAAAAGTCAACTATTGTAAGAGATAAGCAAATAAAGGAACATTTACTGAACCATAGCCGTAAGCGTAAGCACAGTTATTGCTTAATTTTCTGCAATCGCAGTCGAGAAGGTTAAATAAAACGAAACGTGTGCGTACAGCTTTCGTTTAAGATGTCATGTTTTTAAATGACTTTTGCTTTCAATAGGAGGGACCATTCTTGGCAAGGACGTGCCTGCCAGATAAGGCATAATGCGTGATTTTTTTTAATGTTGGAATGGACAGGAGTGGGGATTTTCATTGTTGCTTCGATTTGTTAATTGTTCTGAAACGCAGTGACGGAGGAATGGCGTTTTTTACCTAATTTTGAGTTTTTTAATTTTCAACGATCTTGATATTGTTAGTTTTTTTATTATTGTTTGCAATACTTTTTAGATTCTTGAATTTTTAATTCATTTTCTGTTTTGTCTTTTGATTTCAGAAAGTTGAAAAACGTTGATTATTATCGTTTGTCCCAAAAAAGGCAATAATTTTGGTTCATGTTAGTGTTTTTGAATTGATATTTCCTGAAGTGTCATTTTTTGAGTTCCTCGTTGGAAATAAAGTTTGTGTGATAAATTTTTTGTTCTAATTCTAATTTTTACAAAACCAAATTGTGTGAAATAATTTCCCATTTGTATGCATGTACATTTTTGAGTAAATCTGAAAGCTAAATGAGTTTAAAATTTGTGTATTCAAATTTTGATTTAATCTTATAAATGTAGAAATTTTGCAAACTAGGGCAAAATAATGGGCACACGTATAACAACTTTCAGATAATGTTTGAACAGATTTTCTATTTTCTATCACTGTCGTCTACCGCATTGTAGAACTTTGTTTTTAATTAAAACCGTGAAAGATATTAAAACAATTTAAAAACTAAAAACAATTTTAAATGATTGTTTATTTATAAGGGAGTTGACTTATTTGATTCTAGATTTCTAGAAGGTTCGGGTCAATTACCACTCACATACCGTTCCATTTAGGAAAACACATTTACTTCAAAGATAAAAAGTTGATTTATTTTTTATTTTTGTTGGACAGATTAGGTTTTTTTCAAGGCTAGATTTTTCAGCTATACTTTTTTAATTTCAAAATTCAATTCTGATTCTGAACACAAATTTGAAATTTGAAACCATGATTCACAGAACATTTTATTTAATTACTATCAAATTTTATCGTGGTAATTAATTTAGCGCTTGGCAATGCAAAAATTTTATTCGAATTACTTGAATTTTAGATTGAATCTTTAATCGGCCCCTAATTCAAAGCGTTTATTTTACATACTTTCAAAAATTGAAAAGATCTCTTTACAATTTTTTCATCTTTTTCAAAATAAGACTAAAGAAATTTTCAGTTTGAAGTTATTTCTCCAAAATTTTTTCAACTTTTAGTAATTTTTACTTAATACAATACAACCTCAGTTGACCGATTAGCAAAGCTTCCGGAAAATTGGATAAAAAATAATGTCTTATGAAATGAAAATGCGTTAAATACTTTTTATATAATTTATTTAATTCACTATAATACAATTTTAAATAAAAAAATAAAGGATTGCTAAAAAGTATAGGTATTTTAAAAGCAGTTTATCAAATTGTAATGAATATAGGTATCTGGTTTATACCGGGTGGGGCATCGGTTACGCGCACTTAATAAATCGCAACTTCTAATTAATTAAAACTGCGATATTTCATATACCTAACTAATTATTGATAGGGTATATTTGAAAATTTTTCTAAATTTTGTTGGTAATAAATGAGGCCGTATCAGTTTTGTGTGTTTTATGAATACTTTCTGTTAATTTACACTAAATGAATCTGTACATCAAACTTTGATATCACAATTACAAATTTTGATTGTTAGATAAATAATCGCTTCTTTTTACCGTGATTTATGACTAAATGGCATAATTTGTCAACAAAAGAATCACTTTCTGGTAGCCGACCACTTTGAAGTCTCTTATTGTTGTAAATCTTGGAATCTTACCCTAATTACAGTTTCCTATTGTCACCTAAATTTACGATGGCACAAGTGGCAGGCCATAAATAAAAATTATTTTCAAAATTAAAATGGAAAATTGCGTTTAATTCCAAATCTAATTGGTATTTCTTTTTCTGATTTCGTAAACAATTACAGGAAGTGAATCTGCGCAGGTCGGTACAAAAATTAGAATTCAACGTTTTGGGAAAAAATTGCTTTTTATTTTTTTTTGGCTTTGTTTGTAAAGGAAAAATGACCAAAAAATTATGAAATGTATGTACCTTATCAATACCTAGGCAAGTAAAAAATTTCAACAATTTTATTTAATTAGAAGTGGGGATTTTAATTCTTTGACAAGGTTTTTGTACCTTTACAGAAAAATTGCAAAAAAACATACAAGATCATCGGTAACAATAAATCACATAAAAAAGGTCAAATGTCAAAAATTTTGACTTGACTTGAAGATAAGATACCAGGAACATGGAAAAAATGTAAAAAACAAATCTATCAGTCCAAAAATTTTGACACTTGACATTTTTTATGTCTATTAATTGATACTGATGATCTTATACAGGGTGAATATAAAGTATGGAACCAAGCGGTTTTATTTTTAAAAATTTGCTTCCAGAAAATAATAATTAATATAAATTAAAGCAATATAAAAAATGTGATCGTATTTTTAGAACGAAATTTTGTTTTGTTTTTGAGTTATGCGATTTTTTTTGTCCAAATTGCAATTTATGTGAAAAAATTTTTTGAAAAAATTAAATATAAAGCAGATAGTTGTAATCCTTAGAGTATAGCTTTTATAAGAAAAATGATTTTGTAGTGGGTTGCCATTTAAAAAAATATTTTTTTTTGTAGAACTCAAAACAAAAGGTAATTTCGAAAAAATTTATTCTTGTTAAATCATCACATTTTTATAGTACTTTATCACTCATCAATTAGTTTTTTCAAAAAATAAATAGTTTAAGCAAAAAACGTTTGGTTCCATACTTTTTATTCACCTGGTATATGTTTTTTTATAAATTACTTAGTAAAAGTTGAAAAATTTTGCTAATAAAAGCTCCAAATAACGTTAAACAGAGTTTAGGATATAGCTTCTTTGTTTCCTCTTTTAATATCCTGTAGCAAAAAAACTTGGTAAATTATTTTTTCAACAGAAATAAATAGAGTCAAAGAGCAAAATTTAAACTCTTATAACTTCGAAATTTTTATAGATTATTTTTTTTAACATATTTTTTCCATGTTCCTGATATTACCTTACATTTTTCTCTGGGGCGCGAGTTCTGGCTCACCCTATACTCGAAACAAATAAGAGTAAAATTTCAGTTCAATTTTATAAACAGTAGTTAAACTTTTAGCTACTCGTAAATCTAGAAAATACCGACTATAATATTATACATAATTTTTTCGCCTTTATATCTAAACACTAAAAGTAATTAAGAAAATAATTAATTTCTTATTAATTTGAGATTCTTTCACGACCACATAAATATTATATTATTGATTGGCAGTCGTGTTTTCACTTTAAATAAAAAACAACATATTGCAAATATCAATATTTTCTAATAACAACGTAAACCAGCTTTTATTTCAAAGAAATAATTAATAAAATTAAAACTTTTGGATAACAAAGGTAGTAAATGCACGCCACTGTCCCTGATTAATTTATCGTTAATCACCGACAACCCATAATTGACATTTCCATTAAACCGAATCATCATTAGTTTCATGGCCACGCACCAACCTCACCTGTTCCAAAGGGCCTCCCGAATCACTCCACACTACCTCGTGAATCCCCTGAAAAAGTGTTATGTAACTCAGCACTTTTACGACCAAACAGCACCGAAGGCGCACTCACACTGCACCACAGCGTTATTGTTGTTGTTGAAAACATTTTACTTTCTCCACCACTGGAGCGCGCCGCGTAAAAATCGCTCCACGACTTCGTTACTTTCTAATCCCATCAAAGTTGCGTCATTTGGCAACGCCACGATTTCTTGGAGTTGAAGATGCGTTTGCAGGAAGTTGGAGTTAATTAGAGGTGCATCCTCTTCGAGGAACTGATGCGAGGAGGAAGCACCGTGGAGAAAGTCGACGGAAATGGGAGGTTGGCCGGAAGCGACGCTTGAGGAGGCGATCATGACCCTGCGAAGGTTACAAACAAGTGGGATTTTGGGGCTGGGACAAGGTGGCAATATGCTTCCTTGATACTTTCCAAATCGTGTGTTGGAAAAGTTTATTTTGGTCCACTTGGTCGAGAAGTGCTAGTTGATTGCCATTTCAGAAAGATCCAAGTCATCAGAGGGCCCCAAGCAATTACACTCATGGCATTTGATTTTTTAGAAACATTGTTTAAAAAAAATGCGTTTTTAATTTCATGTACACAAATCTGATAAGTCATAATAATAATGATACGCGCAAGTTTCTCTTTGGATGTTTATGTAAATTACAGTAACATGACACTGGAATTATCTCAAGTGTAGTTAATGATTCGAAAAGTATGTAAAATTACTAATAGTTAATGGTTGTAATTTCAGTAACAAAATGTAAAAATTATTAAAGTAAAACTAATCTGGACGTATTTAAAAACAGTTTAGTTTGTTTTTTAATATACAGGCTGTATTAAGCCATAATTTCATAATTTTTAAAGACGTTACAGACAATACTCCTTTAATCAAAGTAGAAAAGTTTTTTTGTTATGAATCGTTTGCTTGTCTTAGATAAAATGAATAAAAATGTTCTATTCTTTCCACAGTCTACCTTAATTAATTTAATTTTTAAATCACCTACTTAAAATCAAATAATAGTAAGTGAGAAAGACAACTTAATGAGGAATCCAAAAATAATAAAATATACAGGGTGTTCCATATAAAAAACTGAAATTGATTTCACTTCCGGTGAAATCTACGCCAAATAGTAGATGATAAGAAACTATTCAACTTTGTTTTAAGAAATATTGTCATATCTTTAAAAATAATGGAGTTATGGCTTGGGGCGTTTTGCATATTCCACACTGTATACCTAATGCAAGAAAAGTAAGCAAACCTAATGAAGTGCAAAACGAAATTATAAAAAAATAGATAGCATATTAGATACTCGTTAGATATTAAAAAAAAATAGAAATACAGTAATAGTCCTTTAAATATGGTTTGTGCATTTCATACTTTTTTTTTGTCTTTGGTTGTTTGAATTTAATTTTTGCAACTTTTTATTTTTATTTATTTTATATTATTTATGTTTTTCGTTCTATTTTTGAATTTTTAACGTTAGGTATAATTTCTGGTTTTTTAGGTATGTTTTTGGATTTTTTTTTATTTTTTACCTCTATTATCGATTTTTGAAATTTTTCTTCATTTCTTTATTTTTCCAACATTTATGGCTACCTACGTTTTGTAACGTATCTCTTCTTCAGTACATAGGTATACGTTTTTTATGTTTTTTTATTTTTTAGCCTCTTTTTTACTTGTTTTCCAAAGATTGGTTTCCAGTCTTTATTTTTTCCAATTTTAATTTTAATTTTTTTATTTTTATTATTATTCTGAAGCTGTTTTATATGTTTCTTACGTCACTTTGTCTCGTTTACATTTTCCAACAATTTTCTATGATCTATTTTTGAATTTTTAACGTGTTTTTTTTAGTCATATGTTTTTAGATGTTTTTAACTTTTTTTGCTTTTGTTTGTCTCATTTAAGTTTTTTGTTTTTCAAATTTTCTCTTTTTTTGTATATTTAATGTTATATTTTTGGTTTTCGAGACGTGATTTTAGATGTTATTAACTTATTTGTTAATTTGTGACCACTGTTTTCAATCAATTTTGTTTTTTTTTCTTTATTACTTTATTTTTCCAATATTTTTATCGTCGTACGTTCTGTAACTATCTTTGCAATACATATACATTTTTTATATTTTTTGTTCATTTTGTTTACTTTTTTCCTTGTTGTTAACTAATATTCTTATTGCTTATTTTCACTCATTTTTGGTCTCTTTTATGTGTTTTTTATTTTTTCTAATGCTGGTTAAAATATTTCTGACGTCACTTTGTTTCAATTACATTTTTCTATTTTTTCAAGTGTACTTATTTCAAAATTTCCATGTATCTCACTTGCTTTTATCTGATTTTTCTCTTTTAGTTTTGTCTGTTAACTAAATTCAATAAGTCTTTCTGTTTTTGTTTTTAATGTTTGTGCTTTTTTTCGCTTTTGTACTTACCTATAATAAATTGAAAATTTTATCAATTTTAATTTAAAATAAGAAAAGCATTTTTGCCCCTTAAAAAAGATCCTAGGTAGATTTGTTTGAATATCAGTTTGATATCTCCTATACAACAATCTTAGTAAATCTTAGTAATAATAAAAATTTTAATGAAATTCGGTTAGATATCTTTCCTGGATAATTAAGTTTAGCTACATAAAAGGTGTTATAAAATAGACAATATTTTCAAAAAATATCAAATTCACTATTTAAAAGAAAATGAATGATATCTGTAGATAGGCAACCAATATTAACAACCATTCTTTGTATTTTAAAATTGGTTTATTATTTAAAAATTTCAGACAAATTTTTAAATAGGCCAAAAATTTTCTATTGTGATTACACCATCACCTCTCTTTTTAAAAGTTCAGTTTTCTACATTATACTTAAAAACCATATAAAAAACCAATCAAAATTCTGCAATAAACAAAAAATTCTAAATTATTTTTTCCCACAAATCGTAAAATTATGATTGACGTACAAAACATTCACAAAGAGATTTGTTTCCCGGAATTGGTGTATGAAGAAAATGTCCCAAAAGTCAAAATCTACACACACACATTTTCTATTTTTATTTATTTATAAATTAAATTTACTTAATAAAAAAAAATATGAGATGTTCAAATATCAACTTTTCAAATGTCGTCCTATTCTGTACATAGCAAAGGCCAACACGAGATTAATTCCCCAGAGTACGAAACCTCTTGCAGCTATCACGAGCACCGTAATTATGCCATTGACGCAAATTCCTTCATATGATAAAGCCATGTAGCCCATTTCCTTAGCCTTCCTGTAACACTTCCCATAGTCTGCACCCAAGATAACAACAGTAATGAAATCCAAAAAACAAACAAGAAAAGTGGCATAACTCCACTGAATGAAGACTTTTGATTCGTTTGTTTGTTTTTTTCGTAAAACTGAAAATTGTCAGTTGGAAAAATGCTTTTATTGATACTAAAAAGAACTTACGAAGTGCGGAAAATATTATCCAAATTATATTAGTAAAAAGATGAGTCCACATAAATCCATGGAAAACACTGCCGGTGAGAATTTGATTCGGAAAAGCTTCACCACTATCTTAAAAATAATAGATAAATAGAAAATATAAGAAAAGTTTACAAAAACTCACAGTTCAAAAACATGTTTGTTATAACCCTATTTATATACTCCATATATGACTCAGGTATAGGCTCAAAATTGGACGGTCCTTTCACATAGAGAATTATGCTGATGATTGACATGATTTCCCATGCTGTACCTTGTATCTGAAAACAGCCATAAAATACATCATTTTATTCAAAAAAGAAACTTACAATGCCACACCATCCTGCAATTTTTTTAATAAGAATACGAGTATCAGCCAATGTAGACTCCATCATTCTGTATATCGTCATTGATTGATACATGAACTTAGGTATATATACAGATAATTACAAGTACCTACTACAAGATAAATTTTGAATGAGTAATTCTCTGAACGCATTAAATAATAAAAGGATGTGAGGATGTGACGTAAGGAATTTAAAAAATCATTTATCTTTTCTCAGGCTAGGTAAATTTCTAATAAATTGTCAATAAAAAAATTAAGCAAAAATGGTATCTGCGACAAAAAATTTATTTTAATGCAACATAAAGCATACAGGGTGAGTCAACGAGTTGAAAAAGTCCATTAGTGACCTCTAAATGGGAAAATTAAAAAAAATTATATAGGACATTGATAGCCTAAAATTAATTTCTAAAATACAGCGTGTCTCAAAAATAAGCTACAATACAAACTTCTGTTTTTTTTAAATGAAACATCATATGTTTCTTAGCTTTTTTAAATGTTAGATGATAATATTTTGAAGACAAACTTTTATTGGTCGATTTTGTTTAGTTTTAAAAATTCTCTTCTTGAGAAAATATCACTTTATCATTCATCAATTAGTTTTTCCAAAAAATAAATAGTTTAAGCAAAAAACGTTTGGTTCCATACTTTTAATTCACCTGATATATTATTGTGAAGGGGTAAACCGCAACACAAATTTTTTACAGCAGATTTCCTTTTTGACTTTGATTTCTTCATTTCCCTGCTTTTCTTTGTTTCCTCCTCTAATTCCCTGTGATGTATTCTGATTCCTCATAATTTCATTAAGATTTGTCAATAAATAAATGAATCCTTTCAATTTTTCGATAATTTTCCCTGATTTTCTCATGATTCTCTCAGATTTCCCTAATTTTGTACACTGATTTTTCTGCTGTTTACCCCTTGTGTTTAAGAGTATGTAATGCAATATAAAACAAAATAGACAATTTCAGTGCCTAGTTATATTTTGAAAGTTGACTGATGTTGTAAGAGATGAATTCACATTTTTTTATTTTTTAACAACTTTTGGCATGTTTGGAAGTTTGGAGATCAAATCTCAAGAAAAATAATGATTAGTGAGAAGATTGAAATCATGAATGATATCGTTTTAAAAATCCACTCGTAGGATAGATAGATCCTCAATCGTTACGCTATCATTTTTTTACTCAACTAGAAATATTTATTTTTGCGCCGGCCTCAAGACTTGGAATACCCTGTTATATCGTGCGATCAAAAAAAAAATTAGAGTAGGCGGTGATTAAAGTCTTTCCCTTATTTTTGACATTAAATGTCAACGGAAAGTTTGACAAGTTTGCGTTTTATTTATTTTGAGTAAAATAATGTTCGCACTTTAGAGCAGAAAATTTTTATTGTTGCATTACAAAAATGTTGTACAAGACGAAAACGGTGAATGGTCATTTTCACTTTCAGTTTGTGTGGAAAATTTCCAACCCAGATTCCCAGCCAACGTGTTGCCAACTGTAGAGTATTTATTAATCGTCGCCTACTCTAATTATTTTTTTTTTTGATCCCACGGTACAAGATAAATGAACCGAACCATCCACGAATGGATTTTAGAAAACTTTACTTATTCCCAAAACTGCATATAAAAATTTTCCTGATCTAATCGCTGATTTATTTGTTTTGCTTAGATACTTGTCACAAGTATTATCAATTTTTTTATGTATCGTCAACGATGACACGGCAGAGATTCTTAAACAAATTTAAAATTATTAACGGAAGTGAGATTATTTCTTTTTTTCACGTGAAAGCGTCAATCGAATGATAAGAAAAGTGTTTTCTACAAAACGTGACATAAAAGATTTCAAGATACAGTCGCGTGCTTTATATTTTAGTCGTCAATGTTATTTTTTGACAAACTTATTTTTATATAATTTGAAATTTGTGCCATAATTTTATCAATAATAGAAAGTCAATCGACGTTTAAACTATTTTTGACTTTTTAAGATAGAAAAATCAATCACAAAGAAAATTGCGCAATTTCGGACCTAAAAGAATTTTTTTTGTAACATTGACGACCAAAATTTTGCACGTGCAAAATGCATTAAATGTAACTTTATTTTTTTAATTATATTTATTAAATTTGACCACATTTGTCAATAAAAAAAGTAAAGTCAAAATTGTGTTTGCGATAATAATTTTTATTCTTCGACACTGTCAAAATTTTCGGTTTTTCTCTAGTGTAAGGAAGTTTTGACAACTGTTTGGCATTTCTCAATACAAAACGTCAAATTATTTTTAACAGATTTAAAGCAAGTTTAAGCCTTGTTGACTCTAATTCGAAAAATAAAATGTTGTATTCCACTCGTTTAAAAATCCACTCGGTCAAATAGAGAGTCCGATTTACACTCAAACTCGTCGAATAACTGATATGTTTTGAATTTTAACTATACTAACATAGTTAATTATTGTCGAGGGGTAAACCGCAACCCAAATTTTGTACAACAGATTTTCCCTTTGGCTTTGATTTCCTCATGATTTTCCCTGCTTTTCCTTGCTTCCCCCTGGTTACTCCTGTTTTCCTTATGATTCCCTCAGATTTCCCCAATTTTGTAGACTGATTTTCTCTGCGGTTTACCCCTTAATTATTATGTTTAAAAATATTTACACATTATTTTATCTTTTAACAATTTTTGCCATGTTTAGAAGTTTGGAGATTAATGCACAAGAAAAATAAGGAGTTAGAATAGAAAAAGTTCGTTTTGAAAATCCTTTTGTAGAATATATTAAGGCCGACGCAAAAATAAATATTTTTAGTTGAGTAAAAAAACTTTATAGCGTAGGTAAACGCTTTTCAAAACTTTTAGCTTATGGCAGTGAAACCAATTTAGAAAAAAAATTAAGTTATTGGATCACATATACAAAATATTTTTGAAAATTTCCAAAACAAGTTCCTAGAGCCTTGCTGCTATACACTAAAAATTTGGTACAATATCATCCAACATCAAAAATATACAGGGTGATTTTTAAATGAACCGACAAAATTTTATCCTTGGTAGTATTAAATGAGAACATTCTTTGTTTAACCGTTCTCCAAATAAAATATTTTCGAGGTAAAGCATACGCCACTGATATGTTCGTAAATAGTATTAGTATAGGTAGTGGAAACCATGGTATTAATTTGGTGAAAATGTACTTAATCATCGCAACAATTCATAAACGCCCGGATCAAGGGGATGCTGCCCCTAACAAATATAAACGTTAAAAGGGTACAAATTATCTCCATTTCCTTGAGAAGCTCTGATAAAATTTTGTCGATCTATTTAAGAATCACCCTGTATTTAATGCTCAATCGTTTACGCTATCATTTTTTTACTCAACTAGAAATATTTATTTTGCGCCGGTCCCAAGACTTGGGACACCTTGTATACAAGATAAATGAAAAGAACCGAACCATCCATGAGTGCTTTTTAGAACAATTTAATTATTTCTGCATATTTTATAAAAAATGCATATAAGAATTTTCCTTATCTAATCATTGAGTTATTCGTTTTGCTTAGATACTTGTTACAAGTATACACACTACATCTTTAATCTCGTCAACGATGACACAGCAGGGATTCTCTGAATACTTACCTAAACGAATTTAAGTTTATTAACAGCGAACGGAAGTGAGATTGTCCTTTTTTCTTTATACAATAATAATAATATTTACAATAATATCGAGCGATCAAGATAATTTGTAATCGAGTCAACCTTGGATTCGAAAACGTATGTCTGCAAAATGTCAAGTAAAATGACAAGTCGAAAAGTAACATGCAGTTAGACATACGTTCTCAGATGCAAAGGTGACTCGATTACAAATTACCTTGATCGCTCGATATATATTTTCTTTACAGTAATATATATAATAATAATTAGATATGTATTTTATACAAAGCATGTTACAAATTTTTTTAAATATGTGTTAATATGTAGGTAATAAATACGAATATTAAACCTTCAATGACGTCAAATTAGTCCAGAGACCACAGCTCATTAATATTTATTTATTTCAGAAAAATTACCATTAGAACATTTTTTTGAACTTATATAGAGTTATTCATAAATATGAAGCAATATTTGAACCTCAAAAATGACCTATAAAATGATGTTAATTTATTGAAAGATTTTTAGAAATTGTTTCCCTAAAACCGTGCGTGAAACTGAATCTGAAAAAGAAAGATGGCGCAAACCCGGAGCAGTTATCTATCTATCCATATGAAAATAATATTAAAATAATCAGCATTTACTAAAGTCTGTTTTTTTTAAATGGAAATGCCAAACAGTTTTAACGTTAGCATCACTAGTATAATCCATTTCATTGAAATTGGCATAACAGTAGGCCATGATTGTGTAAACCGCGCTTTAAATGTGAAAAAGGCTTTACATATTAAGGAACTAAATTTGTCACTATAAAAAGTGAGGTTAAGATAGTTAAAATTTTATTTTTAAAGAACCCTTTTTCAGAAGTTTTCAGAGAGAGTTTTTTCGATAAAAAGACGTTTTATTCACACCGGAGATGAAACACAATTTGTTTTCCGTGTAATTTGCATCCGAAAGGGGTTTGGATTTTGTCATTAAAAATGTAGGACAAAATTTTGAATTCTTAAACAATGGTAAAGTTGTTGCGATCGGAGGGGAAAAAAGAAATCTGTACAAAATGGAGCTTCGCGTACTGCAGCCTGAAAAATCGTGTTTTGCCCAGGATAAAGTAATTTGGCTTAATTCAAATTGGTATAGTTGATTCCATTAACCTAAAATTCCTAAAACAGGAATAACAAAAAGAAGTTCATTATGTTTTCAAACATACCTTAGCGAGTACTTTAAATCTGAAGAGAACTAGTTTTAATTAAAATTTGAAAAAGTAGTGGGAATAACGAAAACACTGAAAAAACGAATACAAATGTCAGTCATGTCAGTTCAATAAACAATGTAGGTAAGTAATCAAAGAAAAACAAAAACCCCATCAGCTGTTATAACAGGAACATGTGCAACGCTACAAACTTAAATACGAAATTCCATAGCCACCTATTATGCCAATTTAAATGAAATCTACTTTAAATTCATTCATGGCAATTTTAATAAAGGAAGTTGGCAGTTCCGGTTTTTTGAATTAATTTGAAAACAATGTAATTAAACGTCAACACAAGAAAATTGAAAGATGAAACACCAAAAAAGAAACAAATTCGGTACACTACCAGTTTTTCGAAATTTGGAAACAAATAGTTCGCAAGTAGGAAGTTAGAAAAAGGGCCCGTTAAAATGTAGACGCAATTTGTAATGCAGGTTTGCTAAACATTCTCAATTTTTAGCAAGAATTTGACAAGAATACAAAATAAACATGAATGAGAAAGAACCTCGGAAAGAACGCAATTAAGTTAGTGTCTTGTGTATGTTTTTGAGGAACGAGTTGAAAAAGTAACAATTTTGAAACTAAAGCTGAAGAGGAATTTATAAAATGCATCAACTTTGAGCTCATTTCAATAAATTACATAAAATTTATTGGCAATCATCATAATACCCTCTTGTAACTTTTGCTAAATAACTTTTTTCTGTATATACATACATCCTTTTTCTTCAAAGTTTTTGTAGCAAGAATCTCATTTTTGTCCACAACATTGTACTTACTTGCGGTGTGTTTCTGTCAAAATTATTAGCACTGAATTCTGTCTTTAGACCTTAGGTAATGATGTCTGTCCTCAGGTATTCAATTATAGCGCTTTCAAAAAGCAAACAGGCACACAAGATTCATAAAAGTCAAAATCATCTCAATTGGAACACATAACCATAATTTTTTTACAAAATTTATAGGGACAAAAACAAAGAGCAAACAAAATTTGTGGCTATGGAGACAAGATGCTACCAATTTTTTCACCAAAATTTTGACTTGGTAATTTCCATTTAAAAAAAAAACAGACTTTACGTAGGTACTGAAGTGTTTACTTTATTTAAAAGATTATACTAAACAAAACACTACAGAGTAAAAGTTCCTATTTAAGTAAGAGCATATACACGTAATACATATTTTAATCATACCACCCATTGGTTATTTTTTGCCGTTATCAGCTGATGTACTATACCTAGTTTAATTTTTCTTGTACAAAAGTATTTCGAAAGTGGTCGCAGTACTCTCTTTTAGATTGTCACTAAAGTAAAACTGAGGATCTTTTTCAAAGATAGGAATTTTGCCAATTTTATTTTGTGCTTTGTTTTTTCCAATGTGTAATATACCATGGGCATCGGAATCTTTCTTTCCATATTCATGTCCACCAATTACAGCATCTCGATTAACAAGTAATGAGTGAACACTAGTAGAATTTGTCGAGGCCCAATATAAGTTTTGTTCAGGACCACAAAGTATCTACAAAAACATTATTGTTAGAGAAATAGACACCAGCAGAAAATCATATCGTGTTTTGTTAGTTACATACTTACTTTTATAACTTCTGCTGTTTTCACTGCTTCTCCTGACATAGGAACATATACTTCTTGTATTCCAGCAAAAATTTCAGTGACTATGATTCCACGATCTTTTATGTAAGCTTGTCCAATATAAATGTTTATACCTTCACTATTTTGGCCTCCAACTATAGCATCTACGGGCACTTCACCATCAGTATATTCTCGCCAATAGTAATCTAGATCGTAACAAAACAATAAGTGGACTTTTAAATATACTTGTTTTACGTTTACCATCTTGAAAACATAAACAGTTACCGAAGAGAAAGATGAACAACAAATGTGTAAGCTGTAACATTTTGAACGGGTAGAAAATGTATGACTGACAGCATATCGTAATTTGCTTTGATATTTATACAGTGCTTTAACAAAAATAGATGCCAAAGTTACCCAGTTATCTTGAAAAATGCAGCAACTTAAGTGCTTTTAAATTTATTAATTAAATTTTCAAAACAATATTATCTTGTAAAATCTAAAGTTTTCTTTTGTTTGCTTTTTTATAATTTAATTTATCAAATTTAGTCATCTTGGATAATATAGCAACTTGAATGCTTACTTACTTTCAAAACAATAGTACCTATTTATAAAATCGAAGTTTTTGTGTGTTTTTACAAAACAATTTACATGTACATCAAATGGAAATAAAAGGGCTTTATAACCTTCAGGTAATTTACTGGCTGTTTAAATATGTACGGGGTGCTGCATTTTGGATGTCCGAATAGGAAATCTCCGAAACTAAGATGTTTAGCCAAAAACGAGTGATACATTCTGGATCTCATTTTTTGAGAAAATAATATTGGTTAAAACCGCATCCCCGCTATCGTCTTTTGTTTCCTTCTTACAGACAAAAGTTGACAATTTAGCGAAATCTAAAAAGGTAGAAGGTACGGAAGACATTATACGGGCACTTTTTGACGTATAAATTAATAATGTAATAAGCATTTTTTAGTTATTTGTTTAGCCGTAATAAGATAAAGTTGTATTTTTTTAAATGGGAATCATATGTGGCTATGACATTTTTAAAAAGCTTGTTTTTTTCTTAATTAAAAATATATACAGAGCTTTCATTTCAAAGGCAGCCAGTCTCAATAACTTTTGACATTGAGTAAATGTCTTTTAAAGCAAAAACAACTCGATTAGGATCACGAGGGAGAAGTTCAAAACCAACATTTGTTACATTTTAAGTTTCATCCCCTAGTCGCTAGCCACCCCTACTTTGAAATTTTTAATGGCCCTACTTTTTAAAACATTTTCGAAAAGGGAAAAATGATCGTATTTAAATGAAAAAGAAAATTTTTTTTTGTTGATTCGTTTTTCAGTTAGGGGTGATTAAATTTTTGAAATTTTTAGTCCTAGTAGCACTAAGCAACAATTTTTTTTTAATGTGATTGATCTATTGACACATGTAGCAGGGTACATTTAACATCCCTTATTACAAATTTGATAAGAAAAATTCTCCATCACGTACAGATTTTAAGTTACAGGAAAATAGTTTTCTCAAATTTTATCGTAAAAATTGTTTATTTCAAATGGAAAATAATTAAGTAAATTTATTAAAACAGAATATTGTTTATCGTCTTGTATAATAAATAACTGTTAAAATTGACTTTTTGGTTATCCCTCTATTGAGGGACATATTGTTTGCAAGAAAAAAAATGGCCCGCAGACTAATGAAAGTATTGATGGGGCCACTCCGGTCCTGTCCATTCTCCTGTGAATTCTCCTCCGACTGTACCCACAACACGCTTCGAGTGAATTCACACTCACTCTCCACCAATCAGCTCGTCTGAAATTCCCCCGAGTGTACTCGATAGTGAAGCGAGTGAGTATTTCCAATCTGATCAGCTGATTTTGACATTCGTGACATCATCAAAACTCCACCACCGGCGAATTTTCCTCCCCGAAGCGACCTGCGCACTTCCTCTACTTTCAGACAAAAGCTCCCTCAACAATGACCAAGAAAATAAGCGAAAATCAAGCTATGGTAATTCCGGTGTTCCGGTGCAATGTGATTACCCGTCATTAAAAACAGACAGTGGCAAGATGTCGGGTGGTCCACGGGCCAGGACTTCGCCGCTGAGGGCCACCGTGCCCTTGTCGTGCGTCACAAAAGGTAAAAAGCGGCCGCTTATCGCCGGACAAAAACTCCTGCATTTCTTCTTATCGGTCAGTTTGTGCGATGGATAAGAACGGAACGGTTGCAGGTGGAAAGGACTCCAAGGGGGCTGCCATTCGAAGGACGGCGTCTTTGGACGCGATACACAGGCGGTTGGTAGCGAGAGACAGGCCTGTCCCCGTTCCAGCCCCCGTTCAAACCGACAGGGCTAGCAGTTTAGACTCGTTGCAGGCCTTGGTAGACGCGGTGGAAGACAAGGGGGCCAAAGTGGGGCCGAAGACGAGGAGGGACGACAAGGGGGCACAGAGTAGGAGCCGTAAGTGTAAAAAAACGTGTTTCAACCACGTGCTGTAAAAATTTCATTAACGTATGTCTTGCCTAAATTGTTTAATAAAATGTCAAATTATTTAAAATATACCATCGAGGGTCGGTGGTACAATATGATTATGATACCAAAAAAGTTGTCGGCTGATATTTAGTTCCTCGTAGAAAGAATTGATTTTATTCAATATTTAAGGCAAGACAAATGTTCAAAAACTGCTAAATCTGATAGATAACTGACACGTATTGAAGTTGCTATTCAAAACATACGTTCAAAAAAATTTCAAAGCATTCTTGACCACGTTTTTGTATGGATTCTTTGCAATTTATCATAATCAAAATGATTAATAAAAATGAATTTTTATGTAAAATATGTGTCTATTTAGACTTTTCCGGATAATTGAGGTTCTACAGTATTTATACTTTCGCAAAAAATAATTTGTGAAAGATAAAGTACCGTGAGATCAAAAATTATCTTGGTCTAGGTTGGTCATGGAATAGAAAACGACTGTCGTTGCTTATATCATCCTTTTGAAATAATTCTGTCAATGTTTGACTCACTGACAACGTCGATGACATAATCTACGACAATTATTTTAAAATCCATGACCTCTTTTGACCAAGTTAATTTTTGATCTCACGGTATTATTGAAATGTTCAAGTTTTTAGTAATTGCTTTGCATTTCTGTATTTTTTGTGATAATGAAATTTTTTTCGTCAAGAATTGAACTATATTTAGATAGTTACAAAAACATAACAAAAAAATTCTTGGTTTCATTCTTTTTTCCTACGCTGTAGGTATAGTGTGATTACACCCCACATTTTTTTAATAAAACAATGCCTAAAACAGTATTATACAGGGTGCGCCAGAACTCGCGCCCCAGAGAAAATTTTCAAGTAAGGTGAGATACCAGGATTCTATCTGTCAAAAAATTTTGACATTTATTTTTTGACATTTGACATTTTTTTATATCTATTTAATGATGCTAATGATCTTGTATATGTTTTTTTTACAATTATTTAGTAAAGGGACAAAAATTTTGCCAATGTTCCTGGTATCTTACCTTATATGGCATTTTTCTCTGGGGCGCGAGTTCTGGCGCACCCTCTATAAATCATAATCATGACAACCAATTTATTGTTTTAATATTTGAGATCGATGTCCATAAATGTGAAAAAAAAAACAAGAGAAAACAAACAAAACCTTTTGGAAGCGTTTTCGTCAGAAGTAATTAAACAGAAGATCTTCGAATTTGGATAAAAACTAAGACATAAGCAAATCAAATGAAGATAATGTCTAAACTAACATTTGATTTTTTTTTATTTAAACTAAAATTTGTTTTTTTTTCTTTCCTTCTTATGTATGTTAAAATTGATTTTTTAACTGCTCTAAATGTATCTCTCTTCTCTTTGATGGATAATTAAGACTTCGTTTATAATCATTTTAAGGCTGAAGAGGAACAGATTTTAGTTTGTTTCTAAAGCGATAGATGGCGTGAAATTTATATTTCTTTTCCTTTTGACTATTCACATTAGTTAGAAATGGAAAAGTTTTGTACACTAAATATTATTTGAAAACTTGCCAAAGGAATATCTATTTTTTTTTTTTAATTAAACCCGGTATAATGCAAAATCTTTTGGAAAAAACAAGATGACGAATCACAATTTTTCATTAAACAGAAATATGCTTTTATTTTTGAAATTCATAAGTTACAATTTGAGACGAGTCATAATATTTTATGATAGTACATATAACGTTTATTTTTGAGGATATGTTAAATTTTTTACGCAGTAATCTCAATTGAAGCTAAAAAAAAAATAAAATACATAAGTTTTACTCGAACTACTTAGGAATTTTAATTATGTGTGATTATCCACAATTTGTTGGTACTACTATTATTATAAATAAAGTGGATGTACGCTTGATTAATATGAATATGTAAATAAAAGAAGCAACGTCGCATTAACCGCGAAATCCTCTATATATGGCCACTAAAAATAGTGGAAAGCTGATCATCGGATTTAAAATTATCGATGAGAGAATGGCTTTCAGCTCAACCGGAAATGATCTCTTGCCTTTGTGATTGAAATTCCGCTTACCTTTACTACATAAATTTGTATGTACGTAATTTGTTTTGAAATGATAAAAAAATCGTTTATTTTTTCATTATGTTATTTAATTTTTTTATACTCATTAGTTCCTTCTCCGATTGCGAAAAGTTCAGTGGTTGTTCCTCCGAAATCGTCGCGAAATTCCGAAGAAGGTCTGAATCAAGAACTCGAACTTTATGCCAATGCGGAGACCTTCGAATGTGATAGATTACAAGAACCGATACCTGAAGGACGAAAAGCCCCCGTAGCCGAACTGATAAGGGAAGGACCATATTCGAGAATATATCAACCAACCAATCAGAATTCATCAGGTCTGTCACTTTTTCTTTTTTATTAATTGTAAAGTTCAATAGTAATAAAATTGCGCTAATTTTAATTATTGTATGCAAGATTCGCCATTGAGGGACTCTGTATCGCCGGTTCCAAGTTTTTTGGACACGCCGCATAGCGAAACAGGTTAAATGTCAATTGCGTTTTGCATGAATAGTAGGAACACTAGAAAGTCTTCTTTTGATTTTTTTTTTGAATTTCAAAATTGAAAATAAAAGTTTTTAATCCATAATTACAGATTTGGTATAATTGCCCTAAATTAAATTTGAAGTAATTTTAATAACAGAAATGTTGACTGAGAAAGTCACATTCTGTAATTAAATATAAGTTTTGTGAAACTACAAAAACTAAATAACAAACAAAAATTAAGATCAAAACTTCAAATTCTTGTAGTCAGTACACTTGCTTATGTAAAATTTGATTGTTTAATTCTTTGTAGAATACCAGCAATAGTTATTATTTTTTAGATTTTTTTTTAGAAAAATGATTTTCTTTACACTTATTAGATTAGAAGATATTATGCCCAAAATTTATTGCTAGAATTTCGTTACATCACAATTAATATACAGGGCTCTTTTTAGGAATTATACTGTAATGCCGTCTATTTAAAAAATGTAAATGGTAGGCAATCAGTTAAACAACTTTTTTTTTAATTTGCAAGTAATTTATTAGATAAAAAAATCATTAAACCTTAATAAACCGTACAAATTAATTATTAAGGAATTTATTTAGACTTTTAAGTTAATATTTTTGATAATGCATCCAGTAGGTAGGCAACCAGTTATATACCAGCACAATTTAATTGTTGAAAAAAAATCAATATTACCATTTTTTAAATATTTATAAGTAATTTATTATAATAGATTACTAAAATTTAGTAAATCGTCTAAACTAATTATTGAGGAGTTAAGATTAAGTTGACACTTGATTGCATTTTTAGAAAAGAGCCCTGTATATTTATACCCACAAGTAAAATTATTTCTTTCCGTTAAATGTTAAGCCACCTGTGCGTAATTATGCATTTTTAACACGCTTATATTTTGTGCCAGAAGACAGTCAAGGTTCGAGTCCGGACCAAGAACGCATCCTGTCAGGTTCTTCGCCCCAAATCAACCGTTTTTCGTCGAGTGCGCCCCCTGACGGATGCGAATGCGTGCTATCGAAATCAGTACCTATATTACGACCGATACCTCGGGAAGTCGTCACGTCGCATCCCAACACCTCATTCACGCTCAAACCAAGTTCACATTCGGCTTTCGAGAGTCTGCAACAAACATCCAAAGACACCTCCGACAGAGATTCACCAAAAGTGCCCGACCAAGAGGACCCATAGATGTTCGATCAGAGTTTCAGATCGTTGAAGTTGACGAGACTGTTAAGACAGTCTGAAAGTAATTTTTATGTTTTTATAGTTAAGTCTGCTCTTGGTAGAATCTCGCTTTTTAAGTTTGTCTCAAACAAAGGCTGTGGAGATGAAGGATTGTGTAATTTTAAGTGTTTTGCCAAATTGCATTATTTTGAAAATAAAATTGTTTAGAATTTAAACGACTGAGTAATTTTAATTGGGACGATCTGAAATTCAGTTCACAGCAATGACACATTCCAGAGTGAACTGTTTAATAAAACGCTGTGATTCTTTTTATAATGGCAGAAATGATTTGATCAAAGTTGTTTTTATGTAGAAATTTTCTAACCTAGAATTGATTGTTACCTTCTTGTTATTTAAAGCATTCTCGTGTATGTACAAACATATCTAATAAACAGACCGACAGCACTTTTTGTGGTTTTATTCTGAATAAAAATTATAATTAGAAACGTAATTTTTGGAAGAACCACTTGTTCTTTCCTGACTTGTATCTTTCTTCAAATTTAACACGCGTTTGGAATCTGACCTTCTTCCTCTTCATTGGATCTTTCAAATCCTTGGGGGTGATTTTCACGTCGTTGGTCAAATCAACTGAATAACGTGTGGGCATCAAGTGATTGTAATTCAAAACCTACAAGCTATATTGTATTTTTGACGATTTATAGACAAAGTTTACCTTAACGAAAGGCTTGATTTTGGACCTTTTGTGAATTTTCCCTTTCCCCATGCGTTTATGGACTTTCCTTGGGTACCTGTCAATACCAGCAACGATGGCATGTCCATACTGCTTATCCCCAGCCCCTTCATCGTTATTTTTTATAACGATAGCTTTACGTCCTGCGTATCGGCCAGCGAGGACCAACACGACTTTACCTTGTTTCATAATCTTACCCATTTTGCTCTAAAAACACAATTAAAGAGAACTATAACATAACCTCAAACATAACAATTCTTGCAAAACACACAAATGGCAAAAAAATGACAAAAATTCAACTATTAGCTGCTTAATTACCACTTTTATTAAATAATTACACCAAACAGCATTCAAAAACTTGACCGATGGTTGGAATAAATGAGAAATAAACAAATAAACTTACGTGCTTTCCGACAACACAGAATAGAAGAACTAGTGACGTTTGTTTTGTCACTAAATTCTGAGATGGTTAATCCCGCGCGCGCGCAATTCAAATTTTAAATTGTTGTCAATTCTCATGCGAACCTGTAAACTGGTGAAATCTGGTTTTGTTTGGTCCATTTTTGCATTTCTTAAATAAATGCGATCTTGAGATGTCCTAGTGGTGGCAAAAAACTGGTGAATGTTTTGTTGCCATTTTTTATTCAATGCTAGTAATAGAGGGGACGCAAAATGTAATTAACAATGATTATATTGAGTCAGTTTGCTGAATTGAGTTCTACCTGTTACTGTTGCCTTGCCGATTATTGTCACAAGGTGGAATTTTAGTTCGACTTGAAGTGTTTTCGCGATAATTGGCGAGAATTAAACAGTGACTCGGGTGGGAAATGATTATTTGAAAATTAATTAACAACCTTTTTTAATTGCAATAAGGTGAGTTTTAACAAAATAATTTAGCTTTTTGCTTTTCATTAAAATTTTTCAATTTTGAATTTTCTCATTTTTTTACACAATAGGTAGAAAGTTACTTCGATTTTTTAATTTTCCAATTTACTATCTACAAACATTACATGAATTGTTTTAGCGATAGTCAAAACAATTTGCTTCAAATGATAATTCGTAATTTTTTAAATTGCTGTAATTTCCTCGTAAATAAAAAATATTTTTAAGAGAATAACGCCATTAAATTATTGATGCCAGTCATTGAACTAGAAAACCAGTTTGTATTTTATGTGTTGGCATTATTTATTATTGTCATAATTGTAGTGTGTATGAATTTGGGTTTTGGGAAATTCCTAATCTTTTGACAAATTCAAATTCCAAGCATTTTTCTAGAACGTGCAGATTTTTTTAAGCAAATTAAATAGGTAATCCACAACAACCTCATAAAAATGAAAGTGGACTGTAAAATGACGATAAATGAAGAAGTCTGTTGACATTTGTAATAATTGTTTTGTTGATATGATTTTGTGTTGATATTGGCGAAAGTGTGTTTTCACCGGATGTGCATCTGCAAATAGAATGCATTATTTTTTATAAATTCGTAAAATATGTTTCATATTATTACTTTCCTGTTAACTCCTCTAATGGATTTCTTACATAACTATCGTGATGACGCAAAATTTAGATGTGGTTATTGAAAAATACAATGTTTTGCTTATAATACATTTTAGTCACATTTAATTGATTTTATGATACAAATTGTGTACAATAAATGGTGTTTCAGTATTATTAACTGGGTAACAAGATAAAACACATGTTTTACTAAGGGTTTTTGAATTGATTTTATAGTCAATTATAGTGCGGAAAATATAAGTTTTTGGTTTTTAATTCTTATTTAGGTTTATATGAACTTTTATCAACTGACTAGAATTGTTTTAAAATTAATTAAATTATATCTTATTAGCGAAATTACTTTCAAGTAGGTGTGTATAAAAAACAAAATCTTTTAAAATAATACACTTAAATTTTTGGATAAACATTAATTACAAATTGAATAAGTTGGTTTGTTAAAATACAAAAAATTAAAATTTTCAAAATATCAAAGCAATACTAGCAGACTAATGCAAACAATTTGTCATTTCATTGTATTTTGAGAATACCTGTAAAAATTACTTTTTGATTGTTTTATATTTTTTTATTATCAATTGTTTAAAGATATAGACAGCATTAAAAGAATAATGTTCCAGACATATAACAAATAAAAAAATATAATTAATTTTTTCATTGCGATAAAATAGTACAAATATCACAAACAATAAAACTTAACATCTTTTTTAGATACTTTTTCTCGAATTATAAAACCTAAGATAGTGTTGTATACTAAATTATTGTCCCATTTTGCATTGTTTGAAAAAAAATGTTAAAGTCAAATAAAACCATAAAAGTTTCTATTGTTCTTAAAAAAACATTCGTAATAATATTATCTAAAAACAACTGATTAATTAAACCAAAACTTGTTTTATTTAATTTTACAAACATATGAGTTAAAAGTATGCGCCAAAAAACTCAAATTTATTCACTATTTACCATTATTTATTTTTTGGAGTAATAGCATAATATTCATAAAATAACTTCTGCGACTTCTCAACTTAATAAGGAATATAAACCTGTGTAAAACAAAAGTGTAAGTTTTTTCAAAAATTATCCATACCTAGTCATTATAAGTACTTACTCTAAAGTCCAAAGACGAGTAGAAGATAAAAAACAATAAATATAATGGTACTCATAATTGCCAAGCAGTTTTTTATTTTTACTAAAAACCGCCTATTATGAAAAAAGCATAATTTTGCGATTATAAGTATACTTTTTGTAAATAAAAAAAACCTTTTAACATAAAACATTTTAAATTTCACAGTTCAGCATTAGTATACTTACTTGTAAGATAATAACCAATAACACAATAATAGTAATCTACGCACAAGTCTGGTAACAAATACCAAAATTATAGTCAAATTTTCGGTAAGTCTTTATGAAATAGTACTTCAAAGTACTCTAGTGCATTATTACACTCTTTTTAAAATGATTTTCTTGAAAAAATATGATTCTACTTATTTAAATTAAACCTACAAGAAACATCCTTGTTTCTACAGCATCAGTTTGCAAAAGTTTAAAAATTATTATAAGCCAAATTTGCGTTTTATAGGAATGTAAAAACGTCTCATTTCAAATCTTACTAAATTTCAAGGTCTAAAACAATTGTTAAAAACTATTTTGTTTATATAATCTTAAAATGCCAGCACCTTTGAGTATAATAGTATATTAACCGAGAGGATAACTGAAAGCAGTTGCACAAAATGCTATTTTGTGACACTGTTTGTTGGCGACATTTTGTGCAATAGGTACTTTGGCTATCAATAGACAGACTGTCGTTTTTAAGTGAGAAAATGTTCAACTTATTTCACCGAAACTAATGCAATTTAAGCTATTTTCGAGCAATTTGGGTACCGCATATGTCAAATGTCAAAAATTTTAGCTGTCAAATATAATAATAAATTGAATTTAAAAAGCGCTCAATAAAAAAAATTGTATAAAAAACGCGTGTTACAACCTTTTATTGTGATACTCGTGCATTTGCAACACTCACCACTGCGTGGCTCGTGTCACAAACTACTCATAGCACAATCAGAGTGTTTGTAAGACTTGTTTTTTTTTGTTAATACTATTTTTTGCACAATTTATCACTCAATTTTACAGAACATAATTAAGAATTTTACACAAAGACACGTATATTGCTAATTTAAATCACCCAAGCATACTTACTTATCGTAATTGTGTTCATAAACGTTTTGTGGTTCAAAAATAATAACGAAGTTACAATTCGTTAGAATTACTAATATTGGTGACATTTGAAAAACATATTTAGACAATTAGTTTGCATATTGACATATCGTCTATATTTAAAATATTTGTTATCTAATTCTAAGTGACGACAAAGTTTTTTTAGTTATAAATTTTTAAGTATTCATAATTTTATGTTCATAAATAAAATAGTAAGTGCTGGTATGTTTGTTCTATTCACTAAATTTACATTATCGTAATTTGGTATTAAAAAAAATAATATTTATATTACACATTTTTGTTTTATTATTTTTAAATAGAGTATCGATCATTTCAGATCGATCCAGATAATCAGTCAAATTTGAGTGTTAAATAAAAAAATACAAAATACATTTTTAAATTTGCCACTAAATTGTTGATATAACGCACCATGTTTCTAAGAATTATCTGCAATAGTTTTTGACTAATGTCAATTTATTTGTCAAAATAGCGTCGTGCATAGACCCACTGAAAAATTCATAACTTCAGAACCATTCATTGAAGATAAGGTATCCAACTCTTTTTCCAGTCGATTCCTCAAGTTTTAACGCATCTTTTGAGATAAAGGCGAACTCTGAGTTTTTGTTCTATTGCCTACTACAATTTTTAAAAAATTACAAATTACAAATTACAAGTAGCAATAATTTGACATTTTCAAATACAACACCCCTATATTTTAATCCATCGTTGCGTAGCCTTTTTAATTTTTGCCAATGTAGAGTTTGTGGGATCTACTTTAGAAAATTTGTAGCAAAATAAAAAATGTTGATTATTTTTTTCAAAAAAATTAACATAAGTCAAAAACTATTGCAAATCATTCTAAAAAAATATGGGTGCGTTATATAGACTATTTAGTGGCAAATTCAAAAATGTAACAAATATTCGAAGTTTTTATTAAAAAAAAAAACAGAGCTTAGTTGTTTATCTAATTTTGGGACATCCTGTATTAAATAAAAATATTTTTAAAATGTGCTTTATAACAAAACCTACTGTTTAAAAAAAAACAAGTCAATAGCTTGGATAGAAAAAAAGTTATGAAGCTTGCACGTATTCCTGGGTCACTCTGTATTTTTTTGTACAAGCTTAGTTCGATTCTTTTTCTTCGACTTGAATGTTTTACACACTAACTCACACTACAGTTTTTTACAATAATGCAAAATAACTGAGAAAATTGATTTCAAAATGTGCAACGTAACCAAAAAAGTTGTCAGATTATATTTAAAAAATTTAGAACACAAGATAATACAACGCATTATTGTATGTATTGATCACACCTCGTACATTTTCAAGTTCTACAACAGAACGAAAAGCGATTTTTTCCTGGTTATTGTAAAAACTGTCACTTTTTTTAACTCGTACAACTTAGTTTTTTAATCGTGAAAGAAATATTGCATTCATGAAACACTGGTGCCAAAATCACGAGCAAGTAATGATGCAATGTAAATATTTTGTCGACCAATCAGTACGAACTATCGCAATTAGTGAGCGTCTGGTATGTTTTCAAATGACACAATTATCTTCTACACCTTATCAATTCAATCAATTCAGTAATCAAATCTGACGCAATTCGCCTCTTTATCCTGTACTAGCGACCCCTTTAGATGATAACACACTTTTTCCTTTAAATTTTTGACAAATTCAGTACCTAAACTAAAAATTTGATTTTATTAATGTATGTCATTGCTGTTCGAATCTAATTATTCTCTATCATTCCGACCGGTTGCACCTGACCCTGCAAGAAAGTGGCAGGAAATTTGCACTTGTTAATACCTACCTATAGATTAGAGGAAGATTTCTTGATAAAATAAATATCTTCAAAATCAATTGCCAAACCACGATTACTTACTTACGTGCGATCGAAATGGCTTGCGGTACGAAAATACAGGTTAGCAGTTTTCTATTTATCTAAATTTTTTTACAAGTTTTTGATTATTTTTTTTAAATTTCGTTTGTTACAGAAAATGAGGCGACTTGTTAGTGCCCTTACTAGGAAAAAAACTTTGGATAATTCGGGTGGCAGTGAACTTGCCCGAGTCCTGTCCTTACTCGACTTGTCGGCACTTGGTGTTGGCTCCACTTTGGGTTTAGGAGTTTATGTTTTAGCAGGATCTGTGGCGAGGAAGATTGCAGGACCTGCTGTGTGCATTTCCTTCCTCATTGCAGCCGTAGCGTCAGGTGTTGCAGGTTAGTCTACCCGATTTTATCAACAACTTTTTTGTCTTTCTTTTTTTTATATTTTTCTTTTTACTGTTACTAAAATATCAAAAAATTGTAAGCAACAAACATTAAAACAAAATTGAAACCAAACTGAGTGTAACAAGGAAAAACTTTGAACTTTGCATTGGTTCAACAAAAATTAGCGACACTTTTGTTGAAACTAAAAACTTGATTTCCTAATATAAGAATTTTTTTTATAATTTATTAATTTAAACTACATAAGCCAATATAAACCAATAAACAAATTTGCTGTATATCTATCGTTTTAGAGTTAATTTTCTTAAGAATATCACAAATGGAACTTGGTGATTTTATAATTTTCTCAAAGAAACAAACGTACATTTTCTATTGTGTAAAATTTAAATTTAATCTATACGTTTATTTCACTATTTTATCTTTAAATTACAAGTATTACTTATCACTATCAATTATCATGTTTGCATCAGAGGAAAAGGGTCAGCAACATTTGAAGTATTTTCCAAAAAAGATGGTCAGTTTTGTTACTTTTGTCAGGTATTAATCCATATAGTAGAAAATCGTGTACAAGGTGAAATCTTGACCTAATTTTTATATTGTTTACTGCCTGAATTTTAACATTTTTATTATCTTTTCTATATTGATTACACTTATATTAAAGTATTTTTTATCCAGTTGTTTAAAGTATACTTTAAAAAAAAGTGTTAAATGAATCGAAAAAAAATGTGTTCAGGGTGTTTCAATTAAGATGACGTCCCTGACCAACTTCATAGTTATGAGAAATCACAATGCATGTTGTTAATGATTTATTATTTATTTATTTATAATTGATCTTTATTTATTAGGCAATTTTTTAACTCGAGTGTTGAGGGCAATAATACATTTTTGACATAATGTTCGGATTATGATTTTTTAAAGCTCATTACACTGCTGAATTGCTCTAATAATTTATAACGTTTGTAAAATGACAAAAGATTTAAATCATTAAGTTAACAAAAATAAAGATAAGTTTTGCAAACACCTAACGTCTTAATTTCTTTTTTATTGTCCTAGGTAAGTGGATAGGTCATAAAAAATGTTTTTCTGATATTTAAAATTAATCAATAAATAAAACTGTAAAAAATCCACAGAGAAACTAGTTAAAATAAGTATTTTTCCATTGTGATTTTCGATGATTACGAGTCGAAAGTATTTTTCCACTTGGCATTTGTAAGAAATGACAAAACAAAGCCTTATAAAAATGTTATTACAAATAGACACTTTTATATAATAATTTGTTTTTTTTATATAGGTATATTTTTTTGTTTATTTTACTTAAATGAAGTTACTAATTACTAATTAGACTGATCTCATTAAAAAGATAATCTAAAGTCAAGTCAACATGACAATATTATTACTGAAGTGCATTTAGATAATGATCTTTGAACATAACATTATCCTTAAACTATGACTTAACAATGAAATTCACTGCAAATGATAAAAGGTTATTTTTTTGGGAAAAATACGTCAGCTGTGACAAGATCGTTCAATGATAAAATTTTATAGGAGAGCTATATAAAATGTATAGTATTTTAATTAAAATAGTTTTTGGCATTACTTTATCTAAAACAAATTAATTAAAATGTAATTAAAATTTTATGGATTTATCTCTTGACATTCTGTTATTCTGATATGAATGAAAATTAAGATTAATCAAATAAATGTCTTGACACAATTTTGAATCAAAATTTTTATCGTTGATTCATAATATTAGATACATAGTTGTCCTTTTAATTTTTTTTTCTATTGTATTTTGCTATAAACATATGATTTCGCAGATATTTAATACTAATTTTCGGTGTTTTTACGTAAATATAAATAACCAAAATACATATTTTGCTGTTTAAATACTTCCATTTATGCCAAACAAATATTTTTGTAATCCATCACAAACAAAACTCTTTAAAAACTGTATATAGAGTGGTAAGATTAACAAGTCTTTTTACTAATACGAGTAATGATAATTGATTGTCACTTATAATTGCCAAGTGTCCATCAATCATTTTGTTTTACTTTCGATAAAATAAATGCCAATTCGGATACATAATAAATAAATGATTTAAAGAAAATAATAAAAAACAAAAATGATGTAGATACTGGTTCACATAAAAAAGTGATTTGAATTTATAATTAACAATTTAGTTCTTAATTTAGAGGCGAAGTATACTTAGTCAAAATTGTTATTGCCAAAATCGTAACATTAAAATATGACTTAAACAATTTCTAATAAATGTGTCCAATTTCTTTCTTATTAGCGATTAGAAAGTCATTTATGTAATAGTTTTGGTATTTATATTTCATGTTTTCTTTTATTTCAGGACTGTGTTATGCAGAATTCGCCGCTCGAGTCCCCAAGGCAGGTTCTGCGTACGTTTACAGTTACGTATCTGTGGGTGAAGTTGTCGCATATGTAATTGGATGGAATTTAATCTTGGAATATGCTATAGGTAGGTCGCTGCTCGGTTTAATTTTTTGTACAAAATAAATAATTATTAAATTACAACGCAGAAAAAGAAGACAAAAGTACTTAACTTACTATTGCAGCACAAATTCAGCATAAGTCATATTTTTATAAATTTGACGTGAAGAAGATTTTCTTCTGAAATTAACCCAAAGTCTGTTGCTAATGATAATTTTGAGGAGTTAATAAAACGAAATTTTTGCAGAAACATTGAAAATACTGTCTCTTTGTTCATCTTAAAAAAATCTCCCCTTGTGTAAGAAATTTTTGACCTTTATTAATGCAAATTGGCCGACTATTAACTAAAAATTCACATTATAATGCATTCATTCATTAATAATTCTTAATTATTACTAAATGACGTTAAATTCAAGACTTCAGTGTTAAAAGATTAAAGTTTTATTATTTTTAGAGCTACAGATAAAATAGAATATACTTATTTGTTAATTGGAGACTAATAATTTCACCTATAATTACATTCACTGCATTCGCAACGTAAAACATGTCAATTGTACTACTACTACTATTAATTTATTACATTATTACAGATAATTTTATCTTTTGTTCTTTAATAAATAACTAGGTTTATATTCATAAATAAATTTATAATGCACTACTTATCATCAGGCACATTTTTTCGACAAAATATTGTTATAATAAATAGAAAAATTCTAGAAGATATTTGTAACGCATTCCAAAAAAAAAAATAGCTTCCGCTTTGTTCTAGACCTCGAGGAATCCAATATTTTTAGTTATTGAGTTTTACAATGCAAATTAATAAATATAATAACATATTGCACAAAATTGTTTAAAAAATAAGTATCAGGTTTTATTAAATAAACTTTTAATTCTGTTAAATCAATCTACTTAAGACATAAAGAAATAGGAAGAGTTTATTACTTTCACGCAATATTTTTACAGGATTCTGTTCATCTTCTTATATTTCAGCGGTGAAGAGAAAGACTGCGAAACGCACTTTGAGGTGAAAAATCATCACCTTATCACAAAAGAAAGTGACTACTCAATTAAGAAAGTAGTTTTCTTGGTAAACTTGAACATATGAAACACGTCAACGTGTAACATCTCTTTCCGAAAAAAATCTTTTAAGCGAATGAGCAAATTAAATTGAAATAATTTTGTTTAACTGTGAACCAACTTTTTAATTTGTATTTTTATTATTTATTGAAATGCGCTAAGAAAAGTTGTAGACTTAAACTCTTTCTTTTTTTCTTCATTAAAATTGTAAAAATTATTAATATCTACAACTATTTCCAAAATTACAAAAAAATTGAGGTATTTTATCTAAAAAACATAATTTTGAACATTTTAAACACTTATGTTAATATAATATGAGATGAAGAATAATTCTGAATCTGGTTTTGTTAATCAGAGATCTACAGTATGTAAAACTTCATATTCTAACTCAGTAGAAAGAAAAGTTCATTTTTCTCTGCTTTTTAAGTCTTATTATTATTTGGACAATGATGTCACTTTGACAAATGAGTTTACGCAAGTTAAATAACAAAAATGTTTGTGAAAAACATAATTTATAATTTTAATAAACAGCAACTCAATGAAACAGCTTTAAGGTAAAAACCAAAGTCATTTTTAACAAGAACTATCATTATTTAATTAATAAATTAATTTTCAAAGTGACATATAAGTTGCCAAATAATTAAAACCGCCCATGTCCAAAATCAAGAGAAAAATGAACTTTTCTTTCTACTGAGTTAGAATAATGAAGTTTTAATTACAGTTTTGCTGGTTTCAAGTAAAGCAAAAACTTTTTTTCCTTTGTATTTTTAGCGTAAAATCAAAGATATTTTTTTTTCTTGTAAACTGAATCCAGGGACATACTGTATATTATTTACAAATGAGTTAGTAAGTTAGTCTTAAATTCTTATTTACACATGTGTAAACATTTTGGACAGTAAATATGCAAAAATATCTGCTTTTACCCATTAACACAGCAGAATAATTATTTTTGTTGTTTTGTTGTTTAATAAAATTTGTGTCGTGGTCACTTAAAATTACATTGGGTAACACGAACATTTATAAAAACATTGTTATTTTTTTTTTTAAATATTGTTTACCTCTTTTTTTAAGGAACCGCAAGTGTGGCTAGAGGTCTAAGCGGTTACATTGACGCTCTTGCCAACCAAGATATAAAGAATTTTATGGAAAGCTGGGCTAAAATGGACGTAAGCTTTTTGGCTTCGTATCCCGACTTTTTAGCGTTTGGATTCGTTGTTCTTCTTACAGGTAACACAAAAATATTATGTTTGTGTGAAATTACTATTTGTATCGTGTGTGTGCTTTGACACTTCACTCATTGGAGGCCTCGATGTTAAATTCACGGGTATTTACCTTGCCAATTCCACGGTATTTCCTACAGCCGGTTTCAACAAGATCAGGGATTATATCCTTGTTGGAATAAAAGAGTAATTAATTCCCACATGTTATATAATCGGACACGCAAAGATAAATAAGACGAAAAAAGTGTTACGTAATGAAAATTATTAGTTGAAAGAATGATATTTCTCATGCGAAAATAATTTATTTTTTAATTGCCGCCACCAAGTTCAAGAACGTACAAAACATGACACAATAATCTTCTATCATAACACAGGGCGACAAAAAAAAGTCATGTCGCGACAACTTGACACATTTTATATCATTTTGTTCGTCTCAGTGAGACAAATCAAATTCACTAAGAAAAAATTTAAAAAGTCCACACACTTTGAACAAAATAATTTTTTTTTAATTTAAATGAATTTAAAATACTTTAACTTTAAAAAATCATTACTCAATGACTATTAGGCCGATTTTCTTCAAATAAAGACCATTCTAAAAGAATAGACTTGCCCTTTAGAATGATATGCAATTTGAAATTGAATATTGGCAAACTTTTCTTCTTACAGTGTTCGAACAAGTTCGAAGTAAATCGAAATAATCTAAGAGAAACCCTACGAGTAATTTTTTTTTCATCATTACCATCGTATAGAGCATCTCTTTATTAGTTGTAATCCTAATTTTCAAAAAAATATACCGAGTAGTTTTCAAGATCTGATTTTTTGAAGTTATGGTTTGCTAATCAAGCATTGCTCCATATAGGAGAAATGCATGTTAATCTTACTTAAAATTGCATTTTTATAAAAGTATTTGTTTTAGGACTCTTCTTTTGCTTAAAAATGGTCAATTGCACTTTCCTTGTTCTAATAACAATAAACAAAAACTGTTTGTTTACTTAAAACAAATAAAGAGTACCTGCATACTAATTAAAGCAAATAAAGAGTTTTTTTGTTGTAAAGTTGATCATTGATCATTGAGCAAAGATGATCTAGAAGTTTAAAGCACGAGCCTTAAATATAAGGGCAAATCTTTTTCAAATCAAATCACTTTCCATTCAGATTTCGACTTGTTCACTTTGTTCTAGCTTTCTGAACGTTTTTTGAAAATGTTCTGAGCAAATGCTTTCTCATCACTTTAGAGTGATGTTAAATGCAATAAGTCACCTGATTTATTTTGTTGGTACATTCTACGTTTAGCTTCAGTTAGCTTGTAGGTAGTAGTTGTTGTGATAACAGTTGCATACGAAGCAACTGACTTATTGCATTCAACATCAGTAGAAAGTGATGAAAAGGCATTTGCTCAGAACATTTAAAAAAAAGTTCAGAAAGCTAGAACAAAGTGAACAGGTTCGAATCTGAATGGAAAGTCATTTAATTTGAAAAAGATTTGTTTTTATATTTAAAGCTACTGCTTTAAACTTCTAAATCCTTTTTGCTCAATGATCAGTGATCATTTTTAGAAAAAAAAAAACTCTTTATTTGCTTTAATTAGTAAGCAGGCACTGTTTTTTGATTTAAATAAAGAAACAGTTTTTTGTTTATTCTAATTAGAACAAAGAAGGTACAATTGACCATTTTTTAAGCAAAAGAAGAGTCTTAAAACAAATACTTTTATAAAAATGCAATTGTAAGTAAGATTAACATGCATTCATGCATTCACTTCAAAAAATCATATCCTAAAAACTACTCGGTATATTATTTTAAAAATTTGCATTCTTACTAATAAAAAGATGCTCTACATGATGGTGACAAAGAAAAAAAATACTCGTAGGGTTTTTCTTAGATTACTTCGATTTACTTCAAACTTCTTCGAACACTGTTTGAAGAAAAGTTTGCCAATATTCAATTTCAAATTGCATATCATTCTAAAGGGCAAGTCTATTCCTTTAGAATGGTCTTTATTTGAAGAAAATCGGCCTAATAGTCATTGAGTGATGATTTTTTAAAGTTAAAGTATTTCGAATTTGTCTTACTTGTCTTAGGCAAACAAAATGATATAAAATTTGTCAAGTTGTCACGGCATGACTTTTTTTTGTCGCCCTGTGTAATTATTTAATAAACCAATTTGTATTTCCAGCTTTACTTTCCATTGGTGTGAAAGAATCCTCGCGACTCAACAACATTTTCACTGGTCTAAACTTAATCACTGTAGGCATTGTAATTGTTTCCGGGGCCATCAAAGGTATTTTTTCCATCTACGTTGCAATTTCCAAAACCTATTTTTCCAGCCGATTCAGCCAACTGGAACAAAAAAGTAGAAGACATACCAGAACAATTCAGAAATCATTCAGGAACCGGCGGTTTTATGCCTTTCGGCGTTTCCGGAATGATGGAAGGAGCAGCTCAGTGTTTTTACGGTTTTGTTGGCTTCGACGCTGTTGCAACAACCGGTGAGGAGGCGAAAAACCCTCAGAGAAACATCCCATTAGCTATAGTCATCTCCCTCCTCGTCATTTTTTTGGCCTACTTTGGCATTTCGACAGTTTTGACCATGATGTGGCCCTATTACGACCAGGACCCCACAGCTCCATTCCCATACGTTTTTGACCAATTGGGTTGGCCGGTGATCAAATGGATTGTGACAATAGGTGCTGTCATTGCCTTGTGTACAAGTCTCCTTGGAGCATTGTTCCCGCTTCCTAGAATCATCTACGCTATGTCAAATGACGGCTTGATTTTCAAATTTTTGGCAAAGATTCATCCCAAGACCAAAACTCCAGTCATTGCGACGATATTATCAGGGATTCTGGTGGGTGCAATGGCCATACTTTTCGACACTGATCAGCTGATTAGCATGATGTCGATTGGGACTCTTCTGGCCTATACTATCGTAGCTGTTTGTGTGTTAATACTAAGGTACCAACCGACAGAACCTCAATATCCTAACCTTGAAATCAAGCAAAATCTTGAAGACAGTTACGAGTATACCTTGTTGGGCATGTTTAAACAACTTTTCAATTTGAACATGACGAAATACGCCAGTTCATCGTCAACCAAAATCACCAATTGGAGCATAATCCTGTTTGCTGTTTTCGCAGCCGCCTTTGATGCCATCATCATTTACGCCATCGATGTTCTCAATAAACCCTACTACATGACACTTTTTATCATTGTTACTTTAGTTATGTTGACTCTAGTGGTTGTTATTGCCAGACAACCTGTAGACGAAGTGAAAATTTCGTTCAAAGTTCCTTGGGTACCCTTTGTTCCGTGTTTAAGCATCATCATAAATCTTTATCTTATGTTAGAGTTGGATAAAGACACTTGGATTCGGTTTGGAGTTTGGCTATTTATTGGTGAGTTTTTAAAATGAAGGGTTTTGTGTGTATTAATTGTCATTTCTAGGTTTTCTCATATATTTCTTCTACGGTATTAAAAATAGTGAGGAAAGAAAACTCAGGAAAAATCAAAAGTTGAAAGCAGAATCGGGGGAGACAAATAAGCAAATTACTAAATTTTAAGAAAAATCAACAAATTGCTGTTTTTGTGATACATTTGTTTTAATTTATGTAACTTTGTACAGTGCCTATTTATTACTACAGTTACTACTCATCATCGTTGTCGATTTTTATACAGAAAGAAAACAAAGCTTTAAAAATAAATTCTAAGAGAAACATTTATTCTTATTTATTACTTTTATTTTATGATATGTACAAAATATTTTAGTTTTACAATCATCTGACAAATTTTAGATAAAAGTTCTTCTGGAAAAAACCTTTTTAAGGTATGTTATATCCTATAGTACTCATCAAGCCACTCTTGTGTTTCGGGGGAGTCCAGATGACCAATAATCCGAAACCAAATTTCGACTTTGTCTTTAAAAAAAGACGTCCATTTGTACATCAGCTCATACACTTGACCGTAGTCAAGAGCTTGGTATCTTTCGTCGACACCTTCTATGTTTTCGTTATGTTCTAGCTCCGTAACGTGGAGAATTTTTACCTTGCTGGGATCAGCGATAATTCTTCCTTCAGTTAGGAAATCCTCCACGATGATTTTCGTTAAAGCTTTAGCAAGCTGCATTCTAAAAAAAGGCGTATTTTTGTAAAAAGATAAAATAAACTTACTTGTAAAGGAATGAATTAACAATTGTGTGCAAAAACCACACGACGTCTTTCCAAAGTTGTTTATTCCACTTAATTAGTTTGTTATTGTCAGTTAGATCTCATGGTTTGAGCCCCTTGCCCTTCAATCGAAAGTGCACTTTGAGGCAAGAGAAAGTACTCATTAGCAATGATAATCGACATTTGAAACTTATCTCGTTGGTCTTCAGTTTAATGACCAATGACAAACACTGCATTTAGTATTTCAAAATTATTATGGTTGTGTATTTGAAAAAAAATCTGGTAACACTTATCATTTTCTAACTTAAAAGTAGTAAAATATAAATCTAGTATTGTAGACATTACAAAAATTCTAATTAAGAGAGAAAACGCAACTTGTTTTATGATTGTTTATTATTTTTTTGATAAATATGGGAACATCAAAGGTATCGTCTAATCTTCTTGATATTCAACTTTTGAATTCGGTGCAACTTTTGCACGCACAGTTTCAGCATCAAATCGCATCTTTTGAGCGTTTCCTGCTTTTGTTCGATCATTTCGACACAGTTTTGCAACTTCTTATCCAGCACCTTTTTAATTTCTTCGCCAAACTGGGGCGCTTCGTCTTGCAACAAATAGTTAACGACATTTGCAACTTTTGTGACTTTTTCTTCCTCAACAAACTGTCGTCTTTTTCCGTGAACATGTCCAATAAAAAACACTTTTGCGTTTTCTTTGTCCGACTTTAAAAAGTAATCACGACACACTTTTAACATCATTTTTACTTCGTTTTCACTGAGAGAAGCGGATTTCTTGAAGAGAGTTTGATTACGAAAAATGCATCGTGCAATGGAAGTCATCCTTTTTAATCGAGCAGCAGTTATAGATCTACACCGTACGTAATAAAAAGTTTCTGGTTTTGGTTCAACTTTTGGCTTTACGTCCATTCCTGCTTTTAGATATTTATATTTGTATTTGAGAAAGCGTGGAATGTACCGTGATTTCTCTTCAACAAAGCTTTTAACATTGTATTCTCGTGTTTCTGACGACAGTTCAAGTTGAGCTTCAAAATAAGACATCACTATGATCATAATAATAATGTACATGGTGACAGTAATAATAATAATGTACAAAACAATATAAAAAGTTGCAACTTTGTACTTCAAATAATCAGTTAGACGCATTGCTTTAGGCTTAAGTGTCATAAGCAACATCAGTTTTATTAATTCAATCGGCGTGTGAATTCTTCCAAAGTAATTCCCAAGAAGCAAACTTAAAGGAAACGCAAAACTTAACAACATCACGAGAATAGCGACAGAAAACGACAACAGCAATTTTCCAGCCACCAACAATGTTTGTTCCATAACTCGAAACATTGCAGCAAATCGTAGAAATTTCCACAAACGCACTGTTGCAGTGCATAAAAGACAAGCGGCCACAAAATTTAATCCGTATTCGATTTGAAACAAATAGAAGTAGTTTACAAATTCGTTATGTTTGGCCTTTTCAATCTTGTCAAGATAACGTCCCACAAACTTCATTCTCAAGCCAAACATAATGATACATGTTAAACTCATTAACACTATAATCATATCAATTAAAAACCAAGTGTCTCGGTAGAAGGAACGTATTTTTTTGACGGTGCCAACTGACTGTTTCAGTAATAAAATAATCACCCAAAGAACGAACAAAACGAAGAAAATCGATGATATTTTCTCAACTTCGTTCTGGACAAACAACATTCGAACACAATGGACCTGAAAAATAACAATGTCAAAATATTATAGAAGTTTTTTTTTTTTGTTCTGATGATGTGACGAGTAGAAACTTACAGAAACATCTCTCAGGATGTAACCGCTTGCACTTTGTTCAATCATCAATCGAATTGAACTAAAGACGTTGAAATTAGGATTGTAGGTCAAAAATTCTACAAAAATAACTCGAGATCTTGGATCTATCCATGTATCTTGCAACATTCGTAGAAAATTGGCCAGAGAATTGTACATCGTACGACCCAAATAATGAATATATCCACCGCCAGTGTAACTGGCAAATTGTCCTAAATTTCAAAAAAAGTTAATACAGAGTGTTTCACATAATTTTACGAGGCCTGCGCCTGCACAGTAGATTTGATTGAAATTGGCATAATGGTTGGCTCTGGAATTTCATATTTAAGTTAGTAGCCCTGCGCCATGTCCCTAATATAACAGTAAATGGGGTTTTTGTTTTTCTTTTATTACTTACCTACATGGTTTGTTGAACTGACATGACTGATATTTGTATTCGTTTTTTCACTGTTTTCGTTGCTTGTTTGTTATTCCCAGTATTTTTTCAAATTATAGTTAAAAGTAGTTCTCATCAACAGTACACGCTAAGGTATGTTTGAAAACATAATCTTTTTTTTTGTTGTTCCTGTTTAATGGAATCAAATATACCAATTTAAATATAGCCAAATTATTTTCTCCAAAGCAAATAGTGTGTTTTTGGTGTTAAAACTACACATCTGCAAAGGGATGAAACAGAGTGTTCCTTAATATGTAAAGCAGTAAAGACTTTTTCACATTTAAAGCGCGGTTTACACAATCATGGCCTACTGTTATGCCAATTTCAATGAAATGGATTATAAGATGCAATCAATAATACATATTCCGATACGAACTTGATTACAAATTTTGAAAAATTGGATAATCTGCTCTAGTTTGTTCACCCTTTCAAAAATTAAAACATTTTTAGTTAGTTAGTGATTAAGATAGATAAACTAGAATCATATTCATGCTGTCTCTTGATAGAACAAATGATAATTGTTTCTGAAAAACTGCAATTTATGACTATTAATGAAACAGTGATTAATTTGACAACTACCGTCATAGATTTTCAAAAATTAAATAATTGCATGTGTATTTTTTGTATCTACTTTTTGTGAATTTTGTATACTTAGGTGCATACATTAGGCGCAAGCCTCGTAAAGTTGTGTGAAACACCCTGTATAAGTTATTATTGCATTTTGTAACACTGTTTTTTGATAAAAGTCACCACTTACCAAACGCTAGAGAGGAGCCCGATTCTTGTTCGCTCTGATATTGCCAAATGTAGTGAAGCCTGTCATGTGTGGCAGCAATAGGATTAATCTCTTCTTTCCAGCCCACATCAAAAGTTTTAGTTTCGAGGAATCTAAGAGAATATTCTGGCCAACAAGACAAGTTTAGAAAACGCATTTTAGATGCTACTTCGCAGGAATTCGGTTGTATTCTCTGTTGTCTTATTCGAGCCACTCCGATGTATTTATTCACCATGTCAATCATTAATCCCGGGTCGTAAATTGAGAAATTTTCATACCATTCTGGTGCGTGTAGAACATCTATTAACGTTCGATTAATATAATCGTATATTCTTAAAAAATATTAATTTTTTTTTGGTTAAGAAATTTGTTTTATTACTCTTCTAAACTATCCAAATCTTCAAATGTTATACTTCTGGTATGTAAACCGGTAAGTAGGTCTCTCATGTCGTTTTTAGAAACGACCATAAGTCTGTCCTTGTTTGCCAACACTACAACGTATAAAATTATAATGTAAATGATAAACATCAAGAGATCTTCAAATTCGGAAATAACTGAATAACGGTGAATCAACAATCTCCGCACTTCCTGCAGTTTAGAAACAATAAAATAATAAATTATTAAAATATTACAAACAAACCTTAACTCGTCTTTTTCTTAAAGGTTTATACAAATGTTGGAAGTAAGGTCTTAAAATCAGATTCCCAAATTTTTTACGTAAGTATTTTCTCTGGTACTCAGTTGTGTTCAGAATGTGTTGATACATTTTTTCAACGTTATCTTTCTAAAACTAGCCATAAATGTGTGAAATTATTGATGTTTATGTTTGTTACAAAATAAATCTTTATAAAGAAATTCTGTATTATAGAACATGTGCTTTCGTAGATGAAAATATCAAATGCTATTCCAATTAGACAAGAAGTGAGCCAAAGTAAACTCCTATAGTATGTCACCCAAAAACCGTAAATTATCAAAAAAGTTGTCGAAATAATTATTAAACCAACCAGAAATGACCTAAAATCAATCTGTTGTAAATTTTTTGCCTTCTACTCAAAATAAAATTATTACTATTTCAAATTGTTTATTACTTTTTTGTGGAGTAAACAACATTTTTTTTTAATTTATTAACAAATTATGTGTCGTTTAGTAAACATTCTCATAATTCTGTAATTTGCATAAAGCTGAAAAATTATCCCGGCGCATCCACCATTTTTCAAAAAAAAAAATTCAATAATAAATTGCCTAATTTCTAAGAGTTAGACGCAACTTATGCTATTTTAATATTTTCTTTCAACCCGTTTTTCTTAAGTTAATTTGAAATTTTACAAAACTTCTTTTTAGAGACTTTGTCACTCACAATTTGTAACTTCTAGTTAACACACTGAATAACTAAAATAAAACGTAAATCTACTTTAACAATGTTTTTTTTCTTACCATTAAAAAAATTGTAATTTATTATACAAGACAATAAAGAAATTGTTTATCTACGAGTGACGAAGTCACAAATGGACTTTTTTCACGAGTAGATAAATAATCTTTATCGTCGTGTATAATATTTCGTTTTAATTTGTACTTACCTATTTTTTATACAAAATAAAGAATAAAAATAGTATAAATTAGTAGATAAAAGCATTCTTTAACATTGAGTACAAAATAAAGTAAAAAAAAAAGTCTCCTGTATTTATCAAAAGTATGCACATTTTACTAAAATAAAAAGTATTATACTCACCAACATGCAATGGTCAGGATTAAAGGTACTTTGACAGTCTTCCCATGCCACAAATTTTGGAATTTCGACAATCTACAAATTATTTTAAATAACTTGTGTTATAATATTTTGTGCGGTACCGAAAGCCCCATATTATAAGAGAATGAAGTACAAACGAAAAAAATGAAGAGACAAAAGCAACTAAAAATGTAAAGTAATTCACATGAAACATTACGTAAGTGTCTAGGCAATCTTTCGGCTCAAGTTTTGGTAGACCATAGCATAAAAGAGCTAGGAAATAAATTGTTAACACAGTCGAGAAAACAATTGTTAATTTTTGTAAATAGGAAATCTGTTCGTCTTCTTGACACCAGTACCAAACATGAAATTTTTGTGACAAATTTACCCTAAACTTTCTCTTTATGATTGTTTCTTTTTGTTTAAACGGTTCCACCGCATAATAAGTGAAACCTTTCAACACAGAAAATTTTACTTGGATTTTAAATCGCCATTCCTGATGTTGCTGCATATCATACACGTAAATTTCGCGACAATGCCTCAAAATTATTTATATAAATAAAATATTGCAAAAAATCTTTATTAAATACCAAGTAGGATTTACTCCGACTGAATCAAACCACAGTTCGATTTCTTCTAATTCACCCAAACTGCTTTCTGTAGCTAACAAAAACAAATCTTCTCCGAAATTCTGAAGTAAAGATTTTCTTGGATCAGGATAGTTCAAGACATGTGGCTAAAAGTAGTAAAAAGTGACAAAAAAATGTGGTATTTTTATACCAACTTCACTAGATTTATTTTCCCCATGGAGTCTAATAGTCACATTAGATGAAGTACTAGCACTTAGTTTTAATCCAGTTTTAACAGTTACCAGATAAGCAAAACGGTGCTTTGTGTTATTATCAGCCAAATAATACACGCAAATTTTCTAAAAAACATATAATGAAACATATAATCTTGTAAACATCGTCTAATACCTTCTTCGGTAATAAAACAAAAATAACAAGGACGTGAAAAACACATAATGTTACAACAAATGTTAGGAAAATAACTTTGGTTGAAACAACTTGTAATTCTAAATCCGGCATTAGTACTGTTTTCTCCAGAAAGTTTATATTTTCAAAATATCCAGCAATTGCAGAAAAATGGTAGCACTTACAATGGATCACAGAGCTATTTCCACCATCGCCAGGCTAAAAAAATGTGCATTAAGTAAATTAAAAAAAGTTAAAACACAGCAACAATTTTTATTAAAATAAAAAAGTCCAAATAAGTAGTTAGAAAGTTGGTGAAAGCTTGTTTCTAAAGCTTTTATTTTTGATAAAACATTTATAGTTAAAAATCGGGCCTTCCATATTTTTTCTATTAAAATTTCCCGTTTAAAATAAACTTACCTAGTCAACAAAATAAATTAATTTGAAAAAACTACGTACATAACAAGAAAGTTCCCACTGAATTGCTTCTCTATTCCAACGAAGACAATTTGTTACTTTCGAATGCACATTGAAGTGTATTGACGTCTCTGTTTTGTTATACACAGACAAGATACCTATGTAGACTAAAACATCGTAGTCTTCTCTATTTATAAATGAAATGTTTAGAGTGTCAAATTCATTAATAGTGCCATTATGAAAATCGCCCATTGTTGGAAATTTGAAATACGTTGTAATAAACTGTTCAGAAAATAATTAACGCAAGTAGATCATAAAATTTTACGTACTTTTAAAGAATTTTTTTCCGTGAAGTTAGAAAACTCAACATGCAACATTCTTCTTTTTGGTACAGCAAACTGTAAAATTTGATTACAAGAGATTCTACCACATTTATCCGAAATACGAAAAACGTTCTTCTCTGAATTCCTAGTAAAAACAAAATCAGGTCTTTTAGTAAAAAAAATTTCCACCGGTTGTTGAAAATCGTAAATACGTTTCTTGCATGTCGAGTGCCAAAACTGGATAATTGCAATATTTGTAGCCACACGAGTGTGGTTAGGGTTCCACCACATTATATCTTGCTTCCAAATCGTCAACTGTATCATCTTTTGGTAAATGTAGTAAATTTTAGTACGAAAACTTACAAAGACGTCAAAAGGGTGTGTTTCACCGGCAAAATCTTGAGAAGGAATTAATACAACTCCATCTGAAGCCATTCTTGAATCAGCTATTTCTTTTCCTAGATCTTTGAGGACGAGTGTTGTATCGAATTTTCCTTCAGTTTTAACAATACCTTCACCGATAGCGGTGGTAAATGCCATCACTTTTGCCATTTTACTGGAGGCATTCAAAGTGTTTCCCGTCGCTATTGTTAACTAACGCAAAATTTAGTGGACAATTATTAACAAAAATGCTTACATCTCTTAGATTATTGTAATAGTCTGGACCATGATCTTCATAATCGGGATAATCTTCAACCAGTACCGGTTGTCCCTCACTAGGAGGAGGTCGAATTTTTTTCGAGATATTTAGTTTCAGGGGTTCTAATATTTTAAGATTTTCTTTTGCATGAGATTTCAAACAACGGGACACAAATCTGAAAGTAGTTTGTTAATCGGCGATCAATAATCTTGATAATCAACGCGCTCGCTCACTAACAAACTTTTTCGTTATGATATGAAACAAGTCACCTGGCGACTGATTTAGATTCTTCAGCCATGTTGAGAAGATTTTGCTTCTCTTTCATAACATTTAACATCTTATCCGTTATTTTGTCACACACACTGGTCGATATTTTGGCAATTTCTGGATCTGTTGTTGGAGATTGGAAATTATTCAGTTTCGTTAACGTATCACCCATTTTTAAAATAGTAGAAACTTTGCTAGGAGAAGTCTGTAATTGCTGTCTTATACAGGGTGTTGCAGAACTCGCGCCCCAGAAAAAAATGCCATGTAAGGTAAGATACCAGAAACATAGAAAAAATGTTACAAAAAAATATCTATAAAAATTTCAAATTTTGAACTTTGACTGTTGGAAAAATATTTCTCCTAGTTTTTTGCTACAGGCTATTAGAATTATATACAGGGTGTCCCAGCGTGTTGAAAAAGTCCATGAGTAATTTTTAAATGGTAAAATTTAAAAAAAATATATGGACATTGCTAGATACTAATCTAGTCCATCGCCTAAAATTATTTTTAACTATACAGCGTGTCTCAAAAATAAGTTACAATACAAACTTGTGTTTTTTAAATAAAACATCATATGTTTCTTAGCGTTTTTAGATGTAGATTTATATGACAATGTTTTTAAGCTAAACTTTTATTGGTCGATTTTGCTTAGTTTTAAAAATAAGACGGTTTTTTTAACGAAAACATGCACTTTTTAAAAATTTATTACACAAAAATTAAGATATGTACTACCGCAAAGAAAAAGGTACAAGTTATAAGATTGTAACATTTTTTTAGGGTGTTGCATTTGTAAAGATAAAAAAATTAAGGCGTTTGTTATAAGTTCAATAACTTAAAAAATTAAATGGAACACCCTATTAATTGTTTTTCCATTTAGAATATTATTAAATTGTCTTTCCAAACTTATTTACTTTTAGGTGTTTATAATTAATAACTAAAAAGATATTTAACGTTAAACAGATACAAGATCATCAGTAACATTAAATAGACATAAAAAAATGTCAAATATCAAAAATTTTTGACAAAATGTTTTAAGCATTGTTTCCATGTTCCTGGTATCTTATTTTACTTGAAATTTTTCTCTGAGGCGCGAGTTCTGAAGCACTCTGTATACAGAAAATACAAAATTACTAAAACACTCACACTTAAAAGGTCTTTAGTCGCTCTAATTTTTAATGTCCTAATAAAATTAGTAAACTGTGGATCTTCTTCAATTTTAGTATCTACAAGTTCTTCGACCAAAGAAGTCATTATTTGCATAGCTTTTCTTCTTTCAACAATATCTGTACTGCGTGCTAATTGTTCAACTGATTGACTTGGAGTTTTGCCATTATACACATTGGTGACAATTTTTATAACTTCTTTTGTAGGTTTATTAGCTAGACTTGAAATGACTTCTACCTTAAGCGGCACAACATTTGTTGGATGGCCAGTTTTCGTTATTATTGCTTGAAGTTTCTTGTTTTTGGAAGACGACAACACAAATGTTTGCCGAAAAACGTTAGGATAGTAGCCTTCAATAACCGAAGTTGTTTTCGATGGATCTATAAAACGTAAAATTTGAATATTTGCTTTGTCAAATGTGTATCGTCAGTGAAAAATTCCCCGTGTAAAATACCTGTAGTGTCCTTATAAACCAATTCGTAATAGTTTCGATCATTAGGCGGCACTTGGACACATTTAAAGGTGAAACGCGTTTTGAGTGATTCGCCTTTTTCGGGTGTTACTCGACAATCTTTGACTTCAGCAGGTCCTGGAACCTCTATGATAATATTCGAGTATCCGCTTCGTTGATGTCCGGCTTTTAACTGAAGGCTTATATTGTAAATGCCAGGTTTTAAAACATTTTCTTTTATGAGAAATTTGCGACCCTCCCTACCAAAGCGTGTGCTAGTCTTGTAATTAAAAGTAAAACTTGATTTTGTTTTAGATGCTATTGTCCACACGAGGTCATTATCATTTACAAGTTTACAACTTTGGTGACAGAAACCTTCGAGAAATGTAGAAGACTTTACATCCGAATAGGTGGCTACCGGAGGGCAATTCTTCTTGCAACTGTAGAAAAAAACAGTCATATACAGGGTGAATAAGTATGGAACCAAGCGGTTTTTTTTGAAATCATATGCCTCTAGAAAATAATAATTAGTATAAATAAAAATAATCAAAAAAATGTGATCGTATTTTGAGAAAGAAATATTGTTTTGTTTTTGAGTTATGCGATTTTTTTTGTAAAAATTGCAATTTACGTACAATTTTTTTTTTGTGAAAAATTAAATATAAGTAGATAGAAATCCTTAGTTCATAACCTTTATGACAAAAATAGTTTTATAATGGGTTGCCGTTTAAAAAAAATACAAATTTTGTAGAACTCAAAGACTCAAAGACAAAGATTATCGTTCTCCAAAATTTTTCACCCGCGAAGTTTCATCTTCACTCACTGACCTTGTCCTTTTATTTTTTACAAAGGAATAATGTTTAAATGCTATTCCTTCTGTATATTTTTTCAATCAGGAAAAAAATTTTTAACAGTTAAAATTTAATTTTTTTTAAATCTCGTAATTTTTTTATTTTAAAGTGTAACAATTTTCAACGGCTGATGATGGCAAAAATGTCCCAACTTGACTAAATAAAAATTTATCGATTTGTGGAGATGACTTTAATATTACTTACTCTGTTTAAAAGATTAAGATGTAAAAAAATTTTTTTTGATAAAACATCACATTTTTATGGTACTTTATCATTCATCAATTAGTTTTTCGAAAAAAATATATACTTTAAGCAAAAAATGTTTAGTTAAACGAAAAGTGTGCAAGCAGAAGTCAGAAATAGACCACTGATAAAATTTAGACGCAATTTCTAATCCAGGTTTGCTAAACATTCTTCAATTTTTAGTAAGAAATTGATGAAAATACAACATAAACATCAAACAGAAAGAACGCTTAAATTAGTAGGTCTGGTTGCATCGTTTTTGAAGAACGAGTTAAAAAAGTAACAATTTTGAACCTAAAGCCGAAGGAGAATTTAGAAAATGCATCAACTTTTAGCTCATTTCAATAAATTACACAAAATTTATTGCTGATCTTTGTAAACCCTGCTTGTACGAATTTATTTTACAAAAAAACTTTTTTTCTGTATAGGTACCCTTTTTTAATAAATGTTTTTGTAGTAAGAAGCTCATTTTTGTGCAAAACATTGCACTTACAGTGTGGTTCTATTAATATTATTAGCACTGAAATCTGTTTTTGGACATTAGGTAGTGTCCTTAGCTATTCGATTATAAAAGCTTACAAAAAGCAAACAAGCACAAAAGATTCATAAAAGTCAAAATTTTAACATCATAACCTGAAAACACAACCATAATTTTTTAATAAAATTTCTAGGAACATAAACAAAAGATATGTTTTTTTATTGCGTTTTTAAATTCTCCGAGTTATTCTATAAGATCTATCATTGATCTTACTTAAGTTCAGCCGTTTATGAGATTTTTTGACTTGAACCTTCCTATTCAAAAATCGAAAAGTATGCGATTTTTAACTATTATAAAATTTTGCCATTTAAAAGAGAAAGAATCGATCTTTTTTTGGTTAATTCATAATTAAAAAAAAATATTAATAATGTTACGCTTGGGAAAATTCAAATACATACTAATAGGTCATTTTTTTTAAATAAAACGCTCTAAAATTTTCTTCATTAAGTGGAGGAAAATTTAATTCTGCTTCGATTTTTTTTTTGTATTAACATTTTCTATGCCTATGAGCTCAAGCAGACATAAAATTTTTTTAGTCATCACAATCTAATTTTAACTGTTAATATAAAAAAATTATTTTGATTTTTCTTAAATTTATAATTTGTAATTGAACAACATTGAGCATTAATTGAACATTGAGTCCGTGCGGGGCCCTTTGAGGCCTGGACTGGTGTTCCGTGGAACCCACGAAATCCTACTAAGTACGCCACTGATCAAATTTTTCATTTCACATTAGACTTAAGAATAATGAGAAAAGTGTAACTTTTATCATTGAGAAACATAATTTTAGATATTTTAAAAATAATTTGTAATTAGACAACGAAACCCACAAAAACCTGCTCAGTGCGTCACTGGTTAAAATACTTTTTTTTAGAAATACGTATTTTTTTTAAATTGATTCAAGTTATAGATTTCTAACTTAAAATCTCACCAAATCAATTAGAAATAGCTCTAATCGCTTTATTACGTCAAAACGGCAATATAAACATTTATTTTAACGAAAAACAACTATTTCTAGCTTAAAAATCATGCCAAATCGAGTAGAGATAGCAGTTAATTGATTGAAATAAGTACAACATTGGTTTAAGAGTATTTCTGGCATATGAAAACCTGCCTTTAATTGCTCACCAAATTTAATTCGATTAAAATCGTACTTACTCGATGACTAAATTGACTGAATTTTTCAGCACGTAAATCGTTTGCGAGGTGTTGTCATGCGTGTCCCATTCAGTTGACACTGTCAGCGTGAAAACAAATTCGTCCTCATCCACAGCAAGTTTTCCTGGAATAGTCACTACTTTCTCATTGAAAGTCCAATCCCCTTTACAAAAAGACGGCGGTGTTTTTAGTTGCGTACAAGTCCATAAATAAGTTAGTCCTTTGTGAGGATCATCTTTAAGATTTGAATTGGTTGATTGCGATCCGTCGACTTTGAAGGCAAGATTAGGAGCAACAACACGTGACGATCCACCTTCTATAACTGCTGTCGGATCTTCAGCAGCAATCACAATGTAACATTGATAACCTTCTCCTTCCATCGTATCATAGCTCGTAATGCTGGCGGAAACTACATATTCTCCTGGCTCAAAAGAGTGCGGGGGCGCTTTCCACTCGGGCCCGTCGTCATCTGCAGCGTTCGTCACTTCATAATTAACTTCTTCACCACCTTTTTTTAAATTCAATTATTTTTGAGTAAATTGCGTTTATAGGACTTTATTTAACGTAAATGTAAATGTTAATAATGTAATATAATGTAAAAAACATTTTATTTGAGATGCTAATTGTTATTAGTAATGATTTTAATGGAATGAGAAGTGTAGAGTGTTTTCAATGATTAAATTTGAATTAAATAGTTTTTTAATGTCCTCACCTTCAAGTTTAGCACACTCATAGCTATACATAAAACCTCCGAGTTGTCTGGCATCGATTCCTCCCCAACCAAAATCTACTACTACTTCTTCCGAGACATAAAACGGTTCATTTCTGGCGTCATCTATATATTCACTAAAATATACGTGGTTTTATACATATGTAATATGAAAAATTACAATAAAATACAAGCAATGGTTTGGCTCTGGAAAATCAACTGAAACAGCTGTCATTAATATCAGGAAAAATGATACTATTTTAAGCATTATCTAAAAATAAAAATATGTTGTTTATTACTCGTACATATCTGTGCATACTTACCGTCTATTTGTTTAAACGAGTTGTAAAACTTTGACAATTGAGGGAACACAATAGTATTGAAATTCATTCGTACGTGTGACATTTTTTTTACTTGACGAAATTGAAAACAAAACACAATATAAAGCCATCTTTGATCTTTCTTTAAAAATATTGTAAAAAAAAATTCTAAATGGGTAATTTGACAGTTTTTCTTTTAAACAAAATACAATAAAACAAAAATTATTGAAAAATAATAATAATAATACTCATAGGAATCGCCACCCAAGACATTTTGGTCTAATTACATAACACGCGGTAACTATCAAAACAAGAGTTTTATAATAGTTTAAAAATCGAGGTAGTAGTATAAATTTCAGCGAACTATGAAACTTGTGTTGTCTTCAAAATTTTGTCCAATACTAATATTGGATCAGAAATTTTACCAAATTCAGAAATTATTATAAAACAATTTGGCAAAAATAATGTGAAAACTGAGAAAATGCCAAGTTAAGTATGTTTTATGTACTTATAAAATACCATGTGATTGACGATATATTTTATAGAAGAGCATCAGAAACGATAATCTTAAATGCACCATAGAAACAGTACAAGATATTAGTGTTGGAAAATAGTATAATTATTAAAAAAACAAGTTTTATAAAACCAGTTTTGAAGCACGAATGCTAGTTTAAAAAACGAGTGGCCTAGCCATGAGTTATTTTAAAGACTGAGTGGTTCAAGGTTATATATATAACAAGTTTTTTCTACTTCTTTTTGTAATTATTCCTTTTATTTATGGCGTTCTTAAACAAAAATTTGTACTTTAATCGATTTTGTCGACTTATGGATTGTTGTGACATTTGGTAATGTCTCAATTTTAAAAGTCAAAATTTGATTTAGTCTATCAAGACAAAATGAAAGCAAATTACAAAAATGTTTATTAAATTTGCATTTCCTACAATAAAAATTTAAGCATTTGATCGAGCTTAGCCTTTTCTTCTAATGGCCACATTTTAAAATAATTTGAATATCATATAAATTAATCCATTTTTTCTTATCTTTGTTATTTAAACGCTTGATAACAAAGATAATACAATTGAAGTAATTAGTAAATTTCCATAGTTTAATTTATTTACAATTATAAAATCTCGGTCAGTGCTATAACATGTTTTTTTTTTCATATATCTCTAGTATGGAAACATTCTTAGGGCACTCAATTCAACACATATCATTTTGCGAGCAATTTAAAACGTACAATACTATCAAAAAATATTTATAGAGGAATTAACAAGTTTCACGGTCAGATTTAAACAATTTGGCAAAAGTGACATAAACACGTGCTGCAAAACAAGTGTTTTTTTAATTTATATAAAAATTTACTTTGAGGTTTTATCGCGTGTGGATCGTAAAATGATTGAAGATTTAGACGAATAGACTTAGTGTTATCAGAAAGAATAACAATAAATTGACTGAACTATATAATTCTTTTAAATCCGATAAAAACAACTAAATAAACTTACGACCAAAATGGTTTAGTTAATTGTTGTTTACACCTGATCAGTGTTAAGTGACGAAGGTAAGTGATCTACAATTGAAACATTATTTTCTATTGCGACATTGACTTTTAATTAAATTAATCTCAATTGCCACCAATTGGCATCCGAATTATTCGGACTAGACTAGCAGTCAGTCACTAGTTAACTTTTCTTGTCAAAAACAAATATGGAAATAGCAGAATGTCTAAGTAATTTATCTTATCTAAAGTAAAAAAAACTGTTTTATTTAAACTTTGTTGCAGTTTTGATGAAAATGGGGTTGCGCACTGTCACATTCGGGAAAGTGGCGGACACTCTTTCGCGGAAAAAAGTGGTAGAATTCGAAACGGGGACAAAACTGGCAAAAGTGCTCACCACTTTGGACTTGACGGCTTTGGGGGTGGGCAGCACTTTGGGGGTGGGTATCTATGTACTCGCTGGAGATGTCGCAAAAAATAATGCAGGGCCGGCTGTGACAGTGTCGTTTTTTATTGCAGCTGTGACCTCGATTCTCGCTGGTATTAAAATTCCACGTTTTTTTTCAGTAATTATTTCATTCATTGTAGGGCTTTGTTACGCCGAATTTGGGGCCCGTGTCCCCAAAGCCGGGTCAGCCTACGTTTATAGCTATGTGTGTATTGGGGAATTGTTTGCGTTTATCATTGGGTGGAACTTGATACTGGAATATCTGATAGGTGAGCAAAATTATAATTTTTACTAAAAAAAGCTGGTGGTAAAACAATTATTAGAAAACAATGCGTATCAGTCATGAGTTTGAACACATGCCACTTTTATTATGAAGCTTAAAATTATAAACTGGATAAACTAGATAATAGTTTTTGAGTCAAAAATAAAATAAATGGTTGGGAAACTAATAAATGATAAGTAATTTTGTATGTAGAAATGCATAATTATTAAATACTGACAAAAAAATTCTTCGCTGTTTCTGATTAATTTTTTGTTTTTACGGTAGTTTACAGTTTTCAAGTTTCTTCTTTTTTTGCTTTTTATTATTCAAAATATATAGAAAATATGCGATGTCAAATAAAAATAAACTTGACTACTATTTGTCAAAAAATGTAGTGAAAAGCTTATCTTGACATGTTTTTAAAGTAACGTAGTTTATTAAAATTAGATTAAAAATAAGCCCTGAAGGTTTTTCACCTTATATTCATATTTATTTTCTTCAGTACATAAAAAATCTTTTGCATTTCAATTAAAAAATAGTTATTTTTGTTACCTAAAATACAGTTTTTGCGGTCGAATCGTTGCTGCGGACGAGGCAAAGCCGAGTCTGGAATAGCAGATGAGTCCGCAAAAACCTTTTAGACTTATCTTATACAGTTGCGGAATTAAAATTTTGGGCAGTATTTTTCGGTCACTTTAAAGAGTTCACTGTAAACTACCTTTTACTGTCATCATGACTGACATTTGACAATTAAACTTATTTTTTTGTTGTTAAAATTGTTAATTAAACAATTTGTCTGTCTTAGGAAGTTTTATTAATTGAACAAACTATAGTTAAGTCATCGCTATTATCTGCACAAATCACTATTTTTGAAAGTAAATGAGTCAAAATGACATAAATATGACAATAGTAACAAATGAGGTTATTAATGTAAAGGTTGTTTTAGAGTTTTTACTTTATGAAAATAACAATACTGCCCGAAATTTTAATTCCGTAACTGTACGTGTTACAAACAAATTTTTTTGTTAAAACTCCCAAAAAATCAAATTCACACCTTTTATTAATTAAAAAAATTTTGCCACCAAATTGATTTTTTCGTATGGAAAAACTGTTTTTAGGGACTAAGTGATATCGTTGTCAAAAAAATTAAACCGCCAATGTGATGGAATTTAGAAAAAAAAAATTACAAAATCAAAAAAAAGAACTTTTGTTTCCACTGAGTCAGACTAATAAAGATTTGCTCGTTTCAGATGAAGCAAAAAAATGTTTTTCCTTTGCAGTTTTGGGCAAAATAAAAATAAAAAGTTTTTCCGAGTCTGAAATAGCACATGAATACGCAAAAACGTTTTAAGTAAGATAACAACAAAAAAATGACTTTTTTGTCTGGAAAAACTGTTTTTGGGGACTGAGTACCCAAAATAACCAATTAATGTACCATTTTATCGAGTCCGCAAAAGACTAATTTGAAACAGCCATTTTCGCGAGCGTAGATATAAAAAAAGACTTTATAAGACCTTTCTTAACAAAATAACAAACACATTGGACTTACCTTAATTAAATTAGTGGATGGCACATAAGTGCTAAAAGTGTATTTTCCAATTATAATGTTTTCTTTAGTATTGACAAGACAAGTAACAAAAATGTGCAATAAAGAGTTAAAAATTTGCATTTTGTAGGTTCTGCAACTGTTGTCAAAGCGTTGTTTCTTTACTTGGACGAACTCTCAAATAATGTAATGTCCCAGTTTTTCCAAGAAAACATACCCATAGAAGCTGGAGGAGAATTAGGCCAATATGCTGACATTTTCTCCTTGGGTTTATCTCTACTTTTCGCTGGTATTTACACAAAATAGTTTATAAATTTAATTGTAGCATTGATTTTCAGTTGCCATTGCTTTAGGAGCTAAAGAATCGTCTTTGGTCAACAACATTTTCACTCTGGTCAATTTACTCGTCGTCCTAACTGTTATAATCTCAGGGTTGTGGAAAGGTAAGTGAAATTAAGAACAATCCAGTGTATCATTATTATCATTTTAGCCAAAGCTTCCAATTGGTCAATTCCTCCAGAAGAAGTTCCTCCAGATAGTGGCAATGGCGGTTTCGCCCCTTTTGGTATCAAAGGTGTGATCCAAGGCGCTGCTAGATGTTTTTTTGCTTTCATTGGCTTTGACTGTATTGCAACAGCCGGTGAGGAGGCAAAAACTCCCCACAAATCTATTCCAATAAGTGTAGTAACATCGCTTCTCATCGTGTTTTTTTCCTACTTTGGCATTTCCACAATACTCACCATGATGTTGCCATATTTTGAACAACACGAAAAAGCCCCTTTGACTCACATCTACGATGTTGTTGGATGGCCTGCCTTGAAATACGTGGTCAGTGTTGGCGCAATTTGTGGCCTTTTCTCGAGTTTGTTAGGAGCTATGTTTCCATTGCCGAGGATTATTTACGCAATGGCCTCCGATGGACTGCTTTTCAAAGCTTTGGCAATCGTTCATCCCAAGTTTCAAACGCCGTTTATGGGCACTCTCCTTGCAGGAAGCATCGCAGGTTTGTTACAAAAAAAAATGATTTTAGCTCAATCAGTTTCTAATTACCAAATTTAGGTTGCTTGGCTTGTATTTTTGATGTCGATAAGTTGGCCAACATGATGTCCATTGGGACACTTTTGGCATATTCCATGGTAGCAGCTTGTGTTCTCATATTGAGGTATGCTGTTGACGAATCTGAGAAAAAGTTTGAAGACAAGGAAGAATTAACGGGAAAAATGTATTTCAAACAACTCTTCAACAGAAAAAGTCAATTTCCGACTAGATTGACTTCATCTCTGGTTTCTTGGCTCGTTTTGGCTTTTTGTAAGACAACTTTTGTGCCATTTAATCGCCTAATGTGCGGTTTTAGTTTCAGTGTCGTTTATTTTTTCTGGACTAATCACCGGTTTCGAAAAAGATTTGGAAAATGCCGAACCTTGGCTCATATCCATTCTATGTATTCTAGCTGTAGTATTAGTTATTGTGTTATTTATAGTCTCGTGGCAACCTAAATCCTCCGTACAACTAACATTTTCAGTACGTTGTTTTGCACAATTTAAAAAAAAATTGCGAGTGTTGAAATATTTAAATTTAAGGTTCCCTTGGTTCCTTGGATTCCTGGGGTTAGTATTTTGGTCAATGTGTATTTAATGACGACTTTACCAGCCCACACTTGGGAATACTACGCTTACTGGATGCTCATAGGTCAGTACACCACAAAATTTGAAACAAAACTGACTCATTTTTCAGGATTTGTGATTTATTTCACTTATGGCATTTGGAACAGTACCGAGCGAAAGATCAGAAAGACCCCAGAAACAAAAAACGAACCATCAGCAGATGATATAAAAGAAAATCATACGTAAACTTCACTTCAACATAATTTATTTATTACCAAACATAAAACAATAAAGACAAACCAAAATCTGCTTCATTATCCACAAGCCCTTTGCATGTCGGCATAATTCTTATAATCGTATTTCTGCCAGACAAAACGTGCTAAAACATCCTCTTCTTTAGAAGGAGTGTAAGCAAAATAACAGTCTCTCCATGTCGTGAAAGGAAATTCGTAGGAGAAGGTTGTGGGGAAAAATTCGCGGCCAAAATTGACTCTATGCTGTTTCACAGTTCGGTAAAACTTTTCAAGAGCGACATTTGTCTGGAAAAATCAGTAGCAGTTTTGCAAATGCACCAAAAAGTCTTACCATTTTTTTGACATAAGGTGCTTGAGACCAGTTCATAGCATGAGCTTCCTCCATTGTAATTGGCAATTTTGGAGTGGGATTACGTCTTACACTGCATACATCGCAATGCCTCCATAGTATTCTGCTCTTGAAGACATATTTATCTGAGAAAAAAATTAGTCAAAGATTTTATGTGGTTTTTATTATACATTTATCGTCTTGAGTCCAGAATTTCCCACACCTCATTTGCATCCAAAGTTTGAAATGGGGTAGTTTGTAGCATTCTGGGAGCTTAGCTAAAGGGTAACCATCATCGGCCATACTTTCTAAAGCTTTCTACACAAAAAAAAAATAACTTTAAAGAACAAAATCGCCCATACTTACTTTGAGAACTTTCCTTTGCCACTTACGATCACATAGAATTTTCTTAAAAATAAAAAATCGTTTCAATTCTTTTTCTTCTTCTTCAACTTCCTCTTCAACAACCTCTTCTTCTTCGATTTCTTCAGGCCCACACGTGCAGTCAACACATTCGACTACTTTCCCACACGTGCAATCCTTGCATTCGATTTTCCCACAGTTACAACCCTGAGAAGCACAAGTTGAACACAATTTTGATTTTTTTTGACATGGTTCAAATTTTTCTTCCATTTGGGCCTTTTTGGGCTTTTCTTCTTTTTCACATGGTTGAAATTCTTCTTCCAGTTTAGGCATTTCTTCACTTTGCTTCATATTCTCCACCGGCTCTTGTTCCGTTTCGATGTTTACATTTTGGACGTCCTCCACAACACTTGCTCGAAAGGCCGAGCTCGCCATGCTCGATCGTCTACTGCTTGGTGGCAACATATTCTTCATAAACTCATTGTAAACATCCTTCGTGTGTGCTAAATATTTCTCAAACACACTCATGCAAGGAAAATGTTCTTCTTCAAATTTCTGGTAGACAGCCATGCAATCACACTCCTCGGTCGCTAAAGCACTATCAAGGATATAAACATTTCCGGTAGGAGTTTCTTTAACACCGGTAATCCCATATCGGATTCTTCCACCTGGTACATGTGGCATTACGGCCGCCATGCGCTTTTCTTCTTCTTCTTTTCGAGCGTTTTGAGCACAAGCACAGTCAATAGGAGGCCGCATCCCCGAAATTACATACATTGGTCCTTCGGGAGTACTAGCGACACCACCAATGATGTATTTGTCTTGCTGTTGTTTCAACGAACACACTAGTTCTTTGCGTGCTTGAAACTCTTCATACTTGTCTGCTTTTTCGTCGAATTGTTGCAAACACAAACAAGGTCGCTCATTTGTGATACCCTCAATGATACGGACGTTGTCTTCACTCTCCGTTTCCTTGATCCCGCCAATAATAAACTTTTCTGCTTTATGTTTCCGGTCTTCTTTACACTTCTCACATTGACAAAAAGGCGTTTCGACCAACTTTTGGGCTTCTTTGCGACAACTACAAGGTTTCTTCTTTTCTTTTTCAAACTGCTCGATCATCGCTTCGTATTTCTTCAAGCAGTCGCATGGTTTTCCTTCAAGAACTGCATCAATGATTGGAATTACACTATCCGGTCCTGTTTCTTTCATTCCACCAATTGCAAAAAGTGTGCCTTTTTTTGTTCTTTCCTCTTGACATTTTTCGCATTGACAAAATGGCTTTTCAACAACTTCTCTGTATTTTGTCTTGCAACAACACGATTTTTTATCTTCAAGTTTGCTATTCTTGTACTCGCAATACCACTCAAAACGGGCTAAATCTTCAGCATGTTTGCACGTGTTTTTTACTCCTGATTCTTCACTCTCACTTTTACGTTTCACACTCCCGCACTGAGCTCTAATTGAAGCACGTTCCGTGTTGACAGAACTATTAAAAACGGTGCTACTTTCTATACGCGGTTTTTCACTGATTGGTCCTTCACAAGGACAAGTCTTCGTTTCTGTGACTTCTTCATGGCAATCTTCACAATTTTCTTCAATTGCTACTTTTTTCGAACTGCATTGTTCTAATTGATTCTTCAAAGAACAAGGACAAGTGTTCTGAGGTGGACACCCACATCCTCCTTTCAGTTCTTCAGTTTCTGTTTCAGCATCACAACAAGGTTGGACGTATTCTAAGTAACAAGGCGCGTCTTCTTGAATTTCTCGAACTTCTTCCACTTCTTTTTCCTCTTCTTCTTGTTCTTCCATTTCAGCTTTCATTGATTGTTCTTTATACCTGAAATTTACGCACGGGGTAAATCTTGAAGGTTTCAGTAGTTTAGGTACTGTTTTAAAGTCAACTAAATTGTCGTAAATGGATTGGGCGAGAATTAATTCTTCTTTGATTTCTCTGTCTTCTTGACCAGATTGTGTTCGCGTATCTTGTTGCATTTTTCTAAGTTCTTTCTAAAAATACAAAATCAAATGAGAGTTGTAGTAAGTTTGCACTAACCAAGTAACAAAAGTAAGGACTTTGAGGTCGTTGAATGTGCTTGTTGTAGTAAATTCCTGTAAATTTTGGCGGTTCTCTTACAAAATTGAAACGAACCAGATATGGCGAATTAGATTTTTGCGTCTTTTTTACTTTTGATACTTTGCTTGGTTCTTTTGGTGGTCTTGGTGGTGATGGTATTCTGATGTGTAATTCCTTCAAGGTTTCTTGCATGGTTAAATGCACAACAGCACTCAACAAAAGTCGGTCATTAATAGAATACTTCACTCTTTTGGGGTTAATTAACTGGTACAAAATTAGAAGAAACTCAACTGGACATTTACAACAATGTTTCAAAGCTTTCGCTATGTGTTTATGATTTGGGCGTAAAACTAGACCAAGAGAGGCAATATTTTCTTGGGTGTTGATAATAGTATCATCAGCTAAATCTTTCAGAATGCATTTTTTTAAATTATCAACTGTGGCTAACTGTAAAGGAGAAAGTTCCTGAAACCAGGCAGGTCCAACCATTGCTATAGCTTTGTGATGATTGTTCATCACTAAAAACCACAAATAACAATTTTGTCAGTTTATTAGAAAAATTACTCTCAAATCGGTGATTATTTCTTGTCCGTTTCACATACTCTTGGAAAACTTCAATATAGTGTTGTTGCATTTTCTCCTGTTCTTGGGACCAAATCTCATCGATAAACTCCCACTGTGGGGGCCCACCACTGAAGTACTTGCGTTTTTTAGGGGGTGGTGGAGGCGGGGGTTCGGAAAGACCCGGTATGTACTCGGCTACTGTGTGTTGGTAGTGAATTTTTGTGTCTCCAGCGTCCATTTTCGTATCCGTTTGCGAAATATTGTAGTCTAAGCATGTTTTCGGTTGGGGTCTGTATTGAGTGAAAAGGTCTTGGGTTTTGGGGCAACTTGTAGGAATGATTTGGCACACTGGTTGATCCGAGTGGAAAATCTCGTCCAAGATGTTGTTCATAAACGGCGGCCTATGACGGCTTTTTTTCCGTGAAGTCATTGTAGAGTTTTAGAATTTAACAAATTCGAAATTTTGACACCGAAAATGACAAGTTTGACAAAGTGATTTCAGACTTAAAAGTCAAGACTTTTGCAATTATCTCAATGATTCATTATTCATTAATCTGTCTCATGCTTTTCTAAAAAAGTTAGTGAAAAAGTTGGTTTTGAAGCGCTGTAAAAATACTCAAGTTTTTTAGTCTTTATTAAAAATGTTATAAAATAGCTATTTATGAAATAAGATACAAAATGAGCGCGTTTTTTGAACTAGATGTGAAGCTTGTAACGAGTGGTCCAACACGTCGTGTGCAAAAAACAGCTATTTTGCATGGTGTTTCATACAAGATTTTTTCCAGTTTGGTTGTGAAAAGCATCGGCATCAAATTCGAATTTTAAATCTGTGATTTCAATAATTTTTCAAAATCATAGCGTTGCTATGAAAATAGTGTTATTTGTTATCTTTGAGTCACACTTTTTAACACTAGTGATAAAATAATATTGTACATTTTATAATTTTGTAGTCCAAAATGCTTAATATTTAGAAATAATTTAAAACAAAAATTTTCAATTAGAAATCAATGTCGCAATTTTACGTTTCAGAATGGTTATTATGTTCTGGAACATTTTGTTATAAGTGGATTTAGTAGATTAACAAAGAGATATTTGAATTTATTTATAGACATTAATTTATTTATGTTATTTATAGTTATTAAAAGGCACTAAAAGGGTTTAATACTTTAGCGCTCTTAATATTAATTTTTTAACAATATATTTTAAGTTAAAAGAGTAATTACGGCAAATTTAAAGGTGATTTGCCTAGTTTTCTTCTTAAATTGAAATTTGTATTAAAATATAATTTTCCTGTCTGTTAATTAAATCCAAAAAAAAATCAAATAATTTATAAATAAATTAGCTTTTATCTCTACATTTTATCCTTGAAACACAAGAAACAAACGCTACCAAACTCCAAGAAGTCTTCTAATTTGTCTTCCATATGTATTTGTACATACAATATCTGAGGTTTTGTTTATGGAAATGAAATATTTTTTAAAAGTTTCACGTAAAAATCCAGTACTAATCGACAATGTTTTAAGAAAAACTTTTTGCCATGAAAAACTTTCAAAAATTCGTAAAAATTTGTGGGCACTGCTCTGTTTATTAAAAATTTGCATTATTTTATTCCGTCTCAAATTGCAAGATTTTATGTATTATTTGAAATAGAAAGTGTATTAAATATTCACTTTTAACTATAATTTATTTTTTGAAAAAATGGACTCAGTTGTTGTCGCTCGCAGGTACAGAATTAGTGATAAAATAATATTATATTTTATAACTAGTGATAAAATTGAGCACATTTGACAACTAAAATGAGTAAATTTACCATTCAATTAATCTTAGTAATCTTTTATACACGGTGTTAAAAAAAAGATTGTAAAATATTTGAAAGGTAATACCAAAACAAAAAAAAGTCTTAATAAACATAGGTTCGCAAAGTAACGGTTTCGAAAATACCAAAAATTATTCGTTTTTTGAAACATTTATTTGCAGTCTGTTCAAATAAAAAAGAGAAGCTTCTAGTAGAAATTCAAAAAATTTTGAAAAACGAATAATTTTCGATATCTCCGAAACCGTTACTTTATGTTTATTAAGACTTTTTGTTTATTTTAGTCCATGGTATTACCTCCTTAAATGTTTTACAATCTTTTTATAACATCCTGGATAGAATAAATTTCACTAAAACAAATTTGATCTCTGTGGTTTTTCTTTAATATTTATTTATTACATTATTTCAAAAGATTGCATGAAAATTAGCAAAAACAGCTACATATTTAAAAAAAAAAAACAAATAAAATAATGATAGAAACCAATTGCCTGAAACAGCCTAATTTAGACCTAATCCGAAAATTTTCTGGCATTTTTTGACAAAAAAAAAACAGTTAAATTGCTTGAAATTTACTGAAAAGTTGTTTAGACCTAATTTACTGGCCTGTTTAGATAAAATCTTTAAAAATGACCGAGTTTTTAATTCAAAAAAATTACTAAACAACTCTAAATTGGAGTAATTCAAATTTAATTTGACGAATCTTTCAAAGAGGGTCTCTAATTCAAAAATAAGTTAAAACGCTGAAAATTGACTAAAATATATAAATTATCTGGCTTGCCTTAGTAAAATGTTTTAAAATAAGTAAACTCAAACGCAAACAACATCCAATCCAAAATCAACATATTTGTTTAAAACATTTATTAAGAATAAAAAATTAACAATACGAAATTACTAACGTTTCACTGTTTTTCTGAATTTCTCTTCAACTGTATACCAATTATGCAATATCAACTTCAAGCCCAGATTACACCTTTGGAGTGTCTGTTGTCCCTGTGTAATAAACTGAGTACATTTTTGAACCGTCGCATCTAGGTCTCGTGTGTGACTAAACTCCGGTAATTTCTCCTGAAGCATTAGGTTAACAATGTTTGCAATTTTCTCAACTTTTCTCTCATCGACAAATTTCAATCTTTGCCCTTGCATACGCCCTTTGTAAAACACTTCAACTTCTTGTACTGGCGGTTTGATTAACACGCTTCTGCACACTTGTAACATTAATCTTGAATCGTACTCAGATAAAACGGAAGTTTTCTTTTTGTTCTTATTTCTTACGATACACTGTGTGAGGTTCTTCATTCCCATCATCCGGTTATGTGTTACAATTTTGCAAAACAAATAGATAATTTTATCAGGTTTCGGTGCCACTTTAAGCATCCCATCGAAACCGGCCCTGGCTCGTTTCTTGAATTTGTACTTGAGGTACATTGGAATGTACTTCATTCGTTCTTCCATGTAATCGTAAATATTGTATTTAAAAATTTCGGACGCGATTTGTAACTGAGCTTCGATGTAGGCCATTACGATTATCATTATTAAAATAAACATTAATAACTGGATGACAATCATGTAAAATGTGATATAAGCAGTTGCAACGTTGTTTTCCAAAAATCTGTCAAGCTCCATCTCGAGAGGTTTCAGTGCTAGAGTTGTCATTATCCTTGCAGCTCTTGCCACTGTGTAAACTTTCTCAAAATAGCTTCCCATCACCATATAGATTGCCGTTGCAAAAGTAAAAAGTAGCAAGAAGAAAGCAACAGCAAATGACATAAAAGTATTTCCAGCGATTTCGAATGTTAGTTCCAGTTTTCGAAACATTGAAGCAAATCGGAGAAACTTCCACAATCGAATGGTTGCAATACAAACCAAAAAACCGGCAACATAATTCAAAATATCTTCAATGTAGAACAGATAAAAATAGTTTACGAATTCGTTGTGTTGCACAATATCCAATTGTTTCATGTAGCTTCCCACCATATACGTTCTGAAGATGAATAAGGATATGGATAATACGCTCATTATCACAATGACAGAATCGATTAAAAACCAAATGTCTTTAAAGACGCTCCGAAAATTTGTAAGTGTCGTAACTGTTTGTTTGATCAACATAATGGCAACCCAGATGATGAAGAGGGTGAAGAAAACGAAGGAAAACATCTCGACTTCGTTTCCGACAAAAAGCATGCGGACGGAATACACCTGGAAAGCTTAATTTTCATACGTTTGGCAATTTTTAAACGAGTTTAATAAAATTGAAACGGGCATATGAGCCACTTTTCGCTTCGCTTGTTCGTGCTCAAGTGGCTCTTATACGTGAACAGGGTCCCGTATAAAGTTTTACTAAATTAACTTTTTATTGTTATTTGGAGAGGTTCTAGAAAAATCAATACTTACGTAAACACTTCTTTTAATGAAACCAGTTGCACTTTGTTCAAATAACAATTTAACGGCATTGAATATATTATAATTCTGATTGTAACACAAAAATTCAATGAAGATGACTCTGGTTTCGGGATCTATCCAATATTTGTCAATCATCTTGCGTAAGTTCACATACGAATTGTAAAAATTACGGCCCAAATACATAATATATCCACCACCAGAATAAATAGCAAATTGTCCTAAAAATTTCACGACATAGTGTCAAATTTTTTCTCAATTTTAATGTATGTGGTACCAAAAAAACATAAATTCGTATACAAAATTAGGTTTTCATAAAATGAAACAAATCAGTTTTAGTGCTGTAATTAAGTTTCAGACCCTAGAGCTGCAATTACTGTTTTTAAGTTAATAGACTTTACCAGTTTATTAAAGAAAAAAATATATAAAAATTTTTTTTTTATTTTATTTTTACTGGACCAGCTTTTAGGTTAAATGCCTTTTTAATTGATTCTATTTAAGACCTGTAAATGAAACCCAACATTTTTAACGTTTCAGATGAAATAGTACAGGTTGTTTTGCGGTCATAGAGTTGAAAATTGACCTAGTAATACTGTAACCAAGAAAAAAACATCAAACAATTGTTATTATTAAAAATGTTATTTAATTTCAAAATATTGGTACATGGTTTGAGGGTCACTGGAATTATTATTTCCTTGTTCAGATAAAATTGTATTGGTGCAATGAATAAAAAAAATCGTATCCACGACAATGAAAGAAAAAATGTCACTTTACAGTTTTGACACTGTCATCATTTGATTTGCTTTTGCTTTAGTTATTATCAAAATTCGAAGATCTTCTGTTTAATCTCTTTCAGCGGTTTCCAATAGGTTTGTTTGGTTTTTCTTAGAATATTAAAATAATAAATTGGTTGTCGTGATTATAATTTACGGTGAAACACAAGATAATGATACTAATGGCCACTGTTGCACCCGAAGCAGCAGTTCTCAATCAAATAATATAAAATAAATTACTTCCTTTCACAACGTGAATTTTTGTTTTATATAATTTTCTTCTAAATATCATCTTATTTAAATTTCAATCTCAACACCGTAAACACCCTGTATAGGATTCGTAAAATAAATTTTTCTATCTACTAACTTAGAGTAATGAACTTTTAATTACAGATTTGCTGGTTTCAAGTAAAGTAAAAACTTTTTTTCCTTTGCAGTTTTGGCGTAAAATCAAAGATACAAAATTTTTGCCTCTTGTAAACTCAATCGGGGGATATACTGTAGATCAAAATAAACAAAAAGTCTTTAAAAAGTCCGCAAAGTAACAGTTTTGAAAATATTAAAAATTATTTGTTTTTGGAAACATTTATTTGCAGTCAAACAAAAAAAAGAAGCTTCTAGTAGTAATTCTAAAAATTTTCACATTTGATATCTCCGCAAAGTAACGGTTTCAGACATATCGACTGTAAATATTTTTAAAACTTTTACAAAAAGTTTCTCATTTTTGTTGGAACAGACTGCAAATAAATGTTTCAAAAAACGAATTTGGTCCACGCTATTACCCCCTGAAATATTTTACAATCTTTTTTTAACACCCAGTAGAAGTAAGAATGTAATATTTTGTTATTTGTTTTGTACAATGTAAATTGCTTTTTCAACAATTATTTCACCCATGTAATAAAAAAAAAAACATTATTTTGTTTATTTTTTTTATCGCCACTTTTTACAATGTTTTTTCTGTATGAAATAATAAAACTTTCTTTCTCAAAGTAGAATTCAGTGGTGACACAGATTTTTCTTTTACACAGAAACTAAAAGTTTCTGACCAATTTCTTCTTAAAAAAACGTAGTTGAGATGTGCCAGTGTGACGATAGCTATAGCATGAGATTTATGTCCCCGGATAGAGTGTACAAAAATTTTTTTTTGAAAAAATTACATTTTTGTTTAACCTAAAACGCGCAAATCTGTAATTAAAACTTTACTGCTATTCTGAGTCAGTAAAAGTTCATTTTTCTCTTGACCTTAGACAAAGCAACAGAGTTTAGGCAAATTAAATTTAAGTTAAGAGACATTATAAAGTAATTCTCTAAAATTTTATGACGTATTTTCATATTATAGTATCTTATTTTATGTTTTTACTGTCCCTTTTTGCATTTTTGAACATCCTAAAATCCGGTCTCTAATAATTACGTTTTTTTGGTGTTGAAATTTCATTGTTAAACAAAATATTTACCAATATGCGGCAATGTTTCAGTCTCGGAATCAGGCTTATATTTCCACATGCCACGCAGTCTGTCATAGGCCATAAAAGGAAGGTATTTACCCCATCCATAACCATGAGTTTTGGTTTCAATCTTGGATCGGGAGAACTCCGGCCAACATGACATATTCAAGAAGCGCATTTCTTTGGCAACTTCACACAAATGAGGCATCATTCTCTGTTGTCTTATTCGAACAACTCCCACGAGCTTGTTGAGTACATCGACCACCAATGCTGGTTCCGTTATCACATAACTTCCATACCATCGAGTAGGGTGAATTGCTGGAAGCAGAGTTTCGTTAAGGTATCGAATAATACTGAAAACAAGAATCCAGAATAAAAATAAACAATTCATATTCCTCAATACTCATTGCCCTCATCAATTTCGGAAAATTTTAAAGTTCGAGTAAAGAAGCCTTCCACGATTTCTGACATCTCTCGTTTCCCATAAATCATAAGGATATCCTTATTAGCCAAAATAATGACGTACAAAATTGTTATGTAAATTGTGAACATAAGCAGATCTTCAAGTTCCGCTATTATGGATAAACGTCGTTTCAACAGCAACCGTTTTACCTAAAATTACTTCAAGTAATCATTGACAAACAAATGGTTTTACGCACCATCACATCTCTCACTTTTAAAGGCTTGTACAAGTGACTAAAATACGGCCGCAAACCCAAAATACCAAAATGTTGATACAAATATGCCCTTTGGACATTAATAGCGTCTTTTATGTCGTTAAACATTTTTTCAATGTTGTGACCCTAATCAAGAAATAATTTAAACACTTTTGGTGCATCCACTTACCAATTCCATTTTAAAAAAGATATTGAGAAGCATCGAGCATAAAGTTTCATAAATCGTGATACCAAATATAAGCCCTATCATACATGACGTGAGCCAAACACAACTACTATAAAACTGAATCCAAAATCCTACTACTACCAAAAAAGAAGTTGAAAAGAGAATCAGAGCAATTAATACACCCCTAAAATGGCACGTTTAAGTTTGTTTTTATACAGGGTGAAACACTCTGTAGACTTACCACAAAGTGAAATTAACTGGAACCGGCAATTTCCTTGTATATCTGTATCTGGAGAATTGGCGTTGGGTATTCCTATATCACAATAAATAATTAACATTTCTATCAATTGTTATCATAAAGGAGTTACCGAAACAACCACGCAATTCCCATGTGAAATATAAATGACGGAAAAGAGCCAACAAACGCCTTAAAAACATCATAAGCATTAATAATGTAAGTGTGACGATGCCCTATTGAATCACTCATGTGAAATCTGGGAAGCCTGTCAAACAAGAGTACGGAAACATAAGTCGTTAGAACATTAGAAAGGATTATGGTAAGTTTTTTCAAGAAAGAAAGATGTTCTTCATAACGAAACAAACACCAAGTGTGGTATCTTTGTGTGAAAAATTGAATATGGATCCTGCTTAGATAACCCGTTTTCTTCGTTTTTTCTTCTGGAGTCACAGTAATGCGAGTAGTGCCTTTCCGCACAGACAAGTCCGTTTTATTAATGAATTGCCACTCAGTACGTAACTGCATGTCATATACTAAAATGTTCCGACAGTGCCTATAATCAAACATACAGGGTATTTCATAAAAATACAAAAAAAAAGAAAAATGCCAAGTAAGATAAGATACCAGACACATTAAAAAATGTTTAAATATTTTATCTGTCAAAAATTTATTTTTTGACATTTGACATATTTTTATGTCTATTGTTACCGATGACTTTGTATAATAATTATGTTTTTTCATAATTATTCAGTAAAAATAACAAAACTTTGTCAATAAAAGCTACAAATAACGTGAAACGTAGTTACAATTCAGGATACAGCTTCTTTGTTTCCTCTTCTAACAAGCTGTAGCAAAAGAACATGTAAAATTATTTTTCCAACTTCCAACAGAAGTAAATAGAGTCAAAGTGCAAAATTCAAACTCTCATAACTTCGAAATTTTTATAGATAGAATTTTTTTTTAGTTATGTTCGTGGTATTTTACTTGGAATTTCTTTTTTTTTTGTATTTTTATGTACAGGATGTCACAGTGAGTTAAAAAAGTCCATTAGTGATCTTTAAATGGTAAAATTTAGAAAAAATTGTATAGGACATTAATAGATACTAATCTACTGCATCATCTAAAATTATTTTCAACCATACAGCATGTGCCAAAAATAAATTACGATACAAACTTAAATGAAACACTGTATGTTTCTTGACATTTTTAGATGTACCCCTTTAAAAGAATGTTTCTACGCTAAACTTTTATTAGTAGATTTCGCTTAGTTTTAGAAATAAGACGTTTTTTGACGAAAACATGCACTTTTTAAAAATTCACTACACAAAAACTAAGACAGCTAGAACAAATTTTATCTTACTTCTGCAAAGAAGAAAGTACAGAAAGTACAGAAGCTGTAGCAATTTTTATAACTTATAAAATTTAAATAAAACTCCCATCTAATAGATTGATAAATTGTCTATCTAAAAAAATAAACTTTTAATGTCTAGAACCGATAAATGCAAAGATATTTAACATGCAATATTAATTGTAGCAACAATTCCTATCAATATCTGAGCATTGTTGATACTATGGCAACCACAGTAATTCCACCACGGATTACTTATCCATTGATTTATTCAGAGATTGTAAAAGTCGACATAAATATAAAAATTCAAATTATTTTATTGCAAAAATAAAAAATAATGAATTCAGTTTGACACAAATGTGATTATTAAGCGATATTTCTTCCATCCCTTGTGCAACTGTGCAACTGTGCATTTTTACGCTACTGAAACAATAGTAATTATTTTTTTAATATTTAATGTTAAATATCTTTTTCCTACGACCATATACGAAACTAGATCATAACGCACAATTACATATGCACGAAAATTGGGAATATCGTACGAGGTCGAAAATCTGTGCGATTGGTTTTCGTACTGTGTGTTAGAAATCTAACGCACAATTCACACTCGAATGTTTTGTATTTTTTCATTTAACGTATTTTTATTTGTATTCATTGTAAAAATAAATCGTTATTCAACGTATTTTTGTATCCATTATAAAAAATAAATCGTTATGAAAAAAAAATATGTTCGTAAGAAAAAAATTATTTATGGTCGTAGGAAAAATAGTGTACAAAACTTGCAGGAAAGTGTCTAACGCACTCGCGGTATTGCCTGCACTCGGCTAACGCCTCGTGCGCAACTTTCCCGCTTGTGCGTTATTTATCACTTTCCGTGCTCGTTATGTAATATACTATTTCCTACGACCATATACGAAACTAGATCATAACGCACAATTACATATGCGCGAAAATTGGTAATATCGTACGAGGTCGAAAATCTGTGCTATTCGTTTTCGCACTGTATGTTAGAAATCTAACGCACAATTCACACTAGAATGTTTTGTATTTTTTCATTTGACGTATTTTTTTTTGTATCCATTATAAAAATAAATCGTTATTCAACGTATTTTTGTATCCATTATAAAAAATAAATCGTTAAAAAAATATGGTCGTAAGAAAAAAATTATTTATGGTCGTAGAAAAAATAGTGTACAAAACTTGCAGGAAAGTGTCTAACGCACTCGCGGTATTGCCTGCACTCGGCTAACGTCTCGTGCGCAACTTTCCCGCCTGTGCGTTATTTATCACTTTCCGTGCTCGTTATGTAATATACTATTTAGTTATTGATTATAAATACCTAAAAGTAAATAATTTTAGAAAGACAATTTAATAATCTTTTAAATGCAAAAACAATAAATAGGGTGTTCCATTTAATTTTTTAAATTATTGAACTTATAACAAACGCCTTAATTTTTTTATCTTTACAAATGCAACAAACTAAAAAAATGTTACAACCTTATCTTCTTTGCGGTAGTAAAAAAAATTATAAATGTCTTAGTTTTTGTGTAATAAATTTTTAAAAAGTGCATGTTTTCGTCAAATTTGGTCTTATTTTTAGAACTAAGCAAAATCGACCAATAAAAGTGTAGTTTAAAAACATTGTCATAAAAATCTACATACATCAAAAAACACTAAGAAACATTTGGTGTTTCATTAAAAAAAATACAAGTTTCTACTCTAACTTATTTTTGAAACACGCAGTATAGTTGAAAATAATTTTAGGCGATGGACTAGATCAGTATCTTGATATCAATGTTTTATACAGGGTGCGACAGAACTCGCGCCCCAGAGAAAATTTTCAAGTAAGGTAAGATACTAGGAACATGAAAAAAATGTTTAAAATATTCTATCTGTCAAAAAATTTTTACAATATTTTTTGACATTTGACATGTTTTATATCTATTTAATGATACTAATGATCTTGTATATGTTTTTTTTTTACAATTATTTAGTAAAGGGACAAAAATTTTTCCTATAAAAACCACAAATAACCTTAAACAGAGTTACAATTTAGGATACAGCTTCCTTGTTTCCTCTTTTAATAACCAATAGTAAAAAAAACTTGGAAATTTATATTTCCAACAGAAATAAATAGAGTCAAAGTGCAAACTTTAAACCCTTACAACTTCGAAATTTTTATAGATAAAATTTTTTTAACATTTTTTCCATGTTCCTGGTATCTTACCTTATATGGCATTTTTCTCAGGGGCGCGAGTTCTGGCGCAACCTGTATATTTTTTTTAATTTTACAATTTAAAGGTCACCAATGGCCTTTTTCAACTCGCTAGAACATCCTGTATGTATAGTGGCGGTAAAATAAACAAATCATACCAAGAAGCGTTAGGTCCAATTGAATCGAACCACAGTTCCACTTTTTTTATTTCACCCAAATGATTTTCTGTCGTTAACACAAACATATCATTACCGAAACTTTGAAGAAGCTGTAATTTTGGATCGGGAAAATTCAAAACGTGCGGCTGTTAAATTTCAATTTGAAAAATAAAATACAAAACAAAGTCACATCGCTGACCTCACTGGACTTTTTACTTCCGACAAGTTTAATCACTACATTAGAGGAAGTACCTGCATTGTAACCAAGTCCTGTTTTGATCAGTAACAGATAAGCAAATGGATGTTGGAGATTATTATCGGCCAAAAAGTATAATTGTTTCTGGAAACGACAAGCAATAAAAAAACTTTTTTTAAAAATTACACACCTTTTTTCTTTCTCTCAGAGTGAAGAAAATCAATATGTAAAAGAGAATATAAGTTACACAGACTGTTATGAAAATTATATAACAAGATATCAATTTTATCTCTATATTCGCAGGCATCACTTTTTGTTGTTCGATGGGAAAGTTTTCTAAGTAGCCAGCAAGCAACGAAAAGTTAGTACACTGACAATGAATGGTTGTTGTGTTAGTTTGTCCTCCAGGCTGTCAAAAATAACTATTAAAATCGAAATGTTCTTCGTGTGTTTAGTACGTTTTACAACAATTAGTGTTGGTGTTAAAACAGCAATGCTAGTGAAGTATTTTGAATAAAATGTGTATGTATTAAGTTACCAAGCATCCTGCTTCCCAGGTGGTGGTATTCTCTTTCCATTTGAGACAGCTTGATGCATACCATTCAACACTAAAATCTATTGTCTGTCCAGCAAACCCATTCACAGCCACAATTCCAAAATAAATCCACACATCATAGTTGTTTAAATTACGAGTGTAAAATTGTCTACCAACCTCTGAGATAAAAGGCATACTTTTCGTAAATGAATTGATTGATGGATAGTGGAAGGAGACTATCCTCTATAAAACCGTTAAAGCAAAATCACAAACATAATTTCTTTGACATACTTTCAACGAGTTCGCTTTTGTTACATTATAAAACTTGTGATGCAGTATTCTTAATCCCGGTAATGCAATTCGATAAACTTTTATCAAATAATTCTTGTTAAAAGATGTCATGATATCAAATTTTTCATCTACTTCGTAAGAATCATGAAGCGTGTTCAAAATGTTTGTTCCATCAAATTTTAATTTAAAGAAAATATTGACCGGTTTCTTGAAAGTTGAAATACGTTGCTTGCATGTCGAATGCCAAAATTCTACTTTGGCAATGTCGGTATCAATATGGGTGTGCCCAGGGTTCCACCACAGGATGTCTCTCTCCCAAGTAATTAACTGCAAGTTTTAGAAACAAAAGTTTATTTTTGGTCACAAAAAAAAATGTATTCGCGAACGTCACAAGTAAAAGTTTTACCTAAAAATGCTTAAGCGTTTTTACTTTTACTATGACATCTAGGTACTAATGTTACCTCTTTTGCTACTTTACCAATTTCTAGAGAGCATTCTACATTAAATCAATAAACACTTAAAAATAGCACCACAAATTCCGATACTGACGCGTGATGTTTGTTTATAAGCGCCGTTATGTTCTCTCTATTTACAAAGCGCCCTGATTATTTTGTTCATTTACTTGCTTAATATATACTACTCCAAAAAATTAAAGGAAGAAAAAAAAATCCCAAATTTTTTGGTGATATTTGAAAGGCTGTAACTTATCGAAAAATAGGCGCATCTAGATTTAAAAAAAAAAAACATTTTAAAGCTTTAGATTTCATCTTTTGGCAAATATTTTTTCTGTGCTACGATTATCACGCAATTCTAAGTTACAGCGCAAGAAAAAAATTCTAAATTTTTATGGTTTTGTTTTCGGTCCACGGACGTGGAGAATTTTTATTTAGTTAAGTCATTCATAGACCGGATAGCATGTTTGTTTACCTTTAATACGCTTTCTTCATATTCTCTTTACGACAATTTGTCGCTGAGATATCTGACTTTAAATGAAAAACAATCATCTTGTCTTTGATCATCGATGTCTCAGCAACCAATGGCTACGTTATACCTATAAGGGTAGTGTCAAAAACTAGAATAAATGTCTTATAAGATCCTTTTATGATTTTTTGGAAAATAATTTTTTTTTCACCTTTAACATTGATTTAAAGAAAAGAGAAAAAAACAACTTTTTGCGTTGTTTTAGTAAATCAACCGCGTATTCACTAATATTGATGGGGAAACTAATGTTTTGGGTGTTTTCACAGCTTAAAGTATCCCCTACAGCCCTGCTAATTTTTAAATCGATCCATCAAACCGATTTCTCGGACCGATTGATTAATTAAACTTTTGGAAAAGAATTAAAGAAACAATTGCACATATTGTTTCTGAACATTGCCTAATCTTCATCAAAATGAAAAAAACAATGTTTTTCGACTATGTTACAATTTTGCATTAGTTATTTGCTAAAATAAAAAAACTTAAACAAAAATTGTTTTTTGATTATTTTTTTGAAAATTTGTAAAAACATTTAAGAAACAATGAACTGCTT